GTACTTCGTACAAGCTCTCAGTTTGGCATAATGGTTACATAAACATCTATTTCAAGATCAATCAATAGCTCCTTGACAATTTCCACCAAGGTGCTCTTTTCTTTGGAGAATTTTGAATTAGATTTCTAAATTCGTGAAACTTGCACAAGGATATTTGCAAAGCTGTTGCACCATTGAAGCGCTCTACTGATAATGCAGACTCTCGCATCACGCCAGAATTACATACACTCCCTGCCGGCGCCTCATCTGCACTGCATTCACACATGACCACCCTATGCATCCTGTAGGGACGCTGACACGTTCTCGCCAAGGTTATATCTAAGCAAAACGCTTGGTTGCAGGGGAGTGGTGGTATACGTAGACAAGTGGCCGCATAATCATCGCCCCCCCTCACCAGTTTCAGACGGACGTGCGCTCAGATCAGGGACCACCGTTTCTGGTCTGTGCGATGAAGCTGTGGAGTGATTAAAAACTACAACTAACATCCTCGACATGTACATGAAAACTGTATTAAGGGATGGATGTGCAACCGCCACTGCACTCTTGGTGGTCTCCACATCCTACCCAAAATAAAACAATAGTATGGTATATACTATACTGTACCGTAGCCTTTTCTGTATCCCTGCTATACTTTGATCCCTATAGTCATGCTGTGCATAGGAAACAAACCAATCGTACCACCTTTCTTCCCCAAGGACAAGTCGGCAACAGCCTAGATTTTTCGTGCCGTAGTCAATGCGCCAGATCCCGGTGCTGTTACTGGATGGATGGTGCATTGACAGTGGGTCCTGTGGCTGCATATCGCTTGGTGGGCATTAGACAGTGCATTAGTGCGGCGAACTGACTATACTAATGCATGGCTAGCGGTCAGTGCATGGCATCATCTGTTTCGACTAGCAGACGCCCCAAAAAACGGGCCAAATTTCAGGGGCGTTTCTCTCTCTCTGTATCCCTTTTTGTGGACTTCGCAATTGTGGATTATCGTAAATTGCGGAGTTTATGCTCCCCAGTCTTCGCAGGTGTACCCCGAATGTGATAAAAATGGAAAGCGGGGCCACTATCTACTTTCTCTTGACGTCTATTTTCCTAGGCTGACTGGATTGTCAAACATAGGTCCGTCCCCTTAGCTTCCCCCTAGGGTTCCACTCTCGTATACTACCCTCAGACCCTGTACGGGACCAAAGTAGCTCCCGCCTGGGGCATTGGCGATCGTCCATTGCGGCGCCCATATGACCACTTTTGGATAGCTAACTACTGAGATAGTCAAGTATACCGAGACGTTAATCTTTTACTACTTGCATATTATTAATGGCCTCAGAAAAGGATCAGAAGTACAGAATTTTGACGTTTTATATGTGCTTGTTATATGATACGAGCCGTCGGGTTGTTCAATGGCGTGATAGGCTTGCGTGTTATTTCACGTTTGCTTTATCATCCTCAAGCCTTGAAGCACGCTTGGCGGGAGAGGCGCCAGCCATCACAGCGCCATCATCGGCCTATAAGCCCTCAGAACCAAGGGGAAGGTGGTGGGCAAGCCACTTTCCCAACACTTCTGATAACCAGCTGCTAACGAATCAAAACTTTCCCTTGAAAGGTATCCATTTTCCGGTGGCAGTGACATGGCGTATTGGCTACAGCCAGCTACATACAGTTGGCACTGACTTACTTTCATTAGCGCTGCGAGAGAAACCTCCGATAATTAGAATAGTCATTAAAGGAAATCTGTCGGCGATTGAACTAGTGCTTCAGATTGTTTGTCCAATTGCCGACGAGAATCCTGCCTTCTGTTTTCATATGTGTATCTATATTCGAGGAGTAGTATGCTCCGCTGCGCGATTTACGCAGATATGAGGATAAATGAGGGGCAGTGTTTATGTGCATGGCTGAACTTGGTAGGAAGTCTCCGAATAAACCCCGGTATCAGGATGATCTACCACCCGCACAGGTAGGTACGGGGGATCTGCTCTCCAGATAGTTCTTGGCTAGAAGTTGAACAGTGCTCGAGTCTAAAAATGAAGTGATGTGATGCGGGTCACGACATTGATCCATGCGTACTGCGTTAGAACATCAAAACGCCCCTCGAATGCACCCATGTACTTACTTCGGCTACTCCACAAGTAGGCAACCGGGCTGTCTATCAGTCTGATGTCTGCCTTCGTTACCTTCAGATGACCATACTGAGTTCCTATCATGATAATGATAGAAACCTCCACAACTCCCGCGATGGCATAATGGATTGCATGTGTCCTATCCTTTGTAAAATTGCGGGGTGCATCATCCTCAAGCCTCTGCCACTTCACTTCTGCTTATTATCCCAAAATAAGGATACCCCGCGAATTTCATGTCAGCATTTATAAACATCAACATTACGAGAGTAGACAGAGCGCTCTGGAACATTGCTGTAGACAGTTCTGCATTGTCTCTTCACCCTCGATAATATCATGTCCCCTCTTTTTCACCTTTTGTCTGGACGCCCCTCACTTTCGAATCTCTCAAGCCGTCTAGCCGCTGCACTCCTCTTTTCTCTACTATTCAATAACCAACTAAACTCGAGTCCAAAGCTCAGACCCCGGCTTTCCCTCGGGTGTATCTCAAATGGCCCCAAACCCCTTCCCCTGCTACTTTCTCCCCGAGCCCAAAGGCCCCTACACTAATCTCTCCACCCAGCACACACTTCATCGTTTCACGCTTGCATCGTGCGCCGGGAATTCCGTGCTAAATGACCCTTTGCAGATAATCCAACAGAGCCCCGGATGCACCGGGAGCACAGATAAAGTCCTCCCAAACAACTCACATGATACCCCCGTTGCCAGGCTATAGTTCCGGCGTTCCGGCCTAGAGCGTCAACTTACTTCAAAGCTCCGCTATTACATCGCATTTCCACGGCCTAATTATCCTACAAATCACTAGATTCAAATTTCGAGAAAGTGAATCAAAAAATATGGGAGAAGAAAAACTTACACATAACTAGGAAAAAAAAGCCAATTCTTGTCCCCCACCCCGCAAATACTCGTAATACTGCATCAGAGTCATGTTAACATGCAATGCAAAACGCCTCTCTCTCCTTGCCTCTCTGTACTTTGTTCATAGTGGCTCAGATCATCATTCCAAAGACTGAGCTGGCCAAAGCCACGTCCGCCACTTGCGATTCAAATGTTCGAAGAAAACTCTATGCGACACTCGCCCCTTCAAGCCTTCGTCAGTGGCGAGCGGTGTGTTAAGCCATATACCACTTTCCTTATAGTCTAGGATTGTGAAAACTCAATGTATCCCCTTTGTTTCTTCGAGGTATCCTTTGTTTTCTAATGGTCGGGCCTTTGTCGTGCGATCAGGGCGCTGACCGGGCGTGTCTCGCATTGCCGCCACCGCTAATCGATCTGCGGCAGGTTGACCAGACGGAGAATTCGCGTTATGCGACAAGTGACTAATACTACGTGATGATATAGGCTTTCCTTTTTGAAGATTCCGAAGACTTCTTTCTTTGTCTATCTCTAAGTTCCCTTATCTTTTTTTGGTCCTGGCGTTGCATTGCCCGATGATAAGAGTAAGCGTTTTAAGACATATGACACCTTCGAATGGCAAGGGTATAATTAGTCTAGTTGCTTCCTGCACAGACATCAGTACTTAATAAATTTAAATTTCGACTTGGTCATACGCAAACATGAGATGTTTAAGCTGACAAACATTGCAATTCTCAGGCTCGTGGCGATGCCATATGGGTGATATCCTGATCATAATGTGCTAATTGACCCATAAACCACTTCTGTAGACACATCTTGAGCACATATGACGAAATCAAACGTAAAGCACGACCGAGATAAATGTAAATTCCCGAAGAATCCCTGTTCAATTTGCGTGAGTCTGATCTATTTTCATTATATCGTCGTCGATACTCAAATTATCCTTGCATGTACTATATGTTGAACATGCCATCTCGGTACTTCGTAGCTCAATCTACTACTATTTATCAACCTGTAAGAATGTTCAACTTAGTGAAATCAGATTTTTAACATTTTGATAGGCTGTCGTGAAATCATGTCATAGTCTCGCCAGCAAACGGTTCAATGTCTGCTTTGGAATCTTCCTAGTGAGACCATGCTGAACTTGATGCACAATCCTGGTCCTATAGCAAGGCCTTGCCACTCAACCAAGGATTTGACTGTATAGAAAAGTGTACACAATAATATGCGTGCCTTGATCAAACTATCAAGGCGGGTGAACATCCTAGTTTGAGCAGAAGATGCGGCATACTACTAGTATTGCGTCTCGTTATATGTAAAATGATTTGGTTATCAGTTGGTATAACCCCCTTTGCTGAGGGAGTAAAACCGCTAGACCTCTCCAACGCTTCTGAATGTGGAGCTCTTCAGCTATTCTGAGATATCCTTGGGTTTAGTCTGTTGGCTGCCTTGTCATAATCACCGTCGAGTATGTGGTGAGACTAACAGCAGTGATTCGTTGTCCAACATCGCGAGTTCTCGACGAGTTGAAGTAGTCAGGTTTACTATAAAGATACAGCATGATTATTGCTGGCTTGATCGAATCTGGGAAGCTTCTGGATGCCATTCACGTAGGGCAGTGGGACTGCGACTTCGATCATTGGGGACATGGTGAGAATTGTGAGCCAGTTAGGCCGCAGCAGAGAGTGGGACGATGAAACCGCAACCCAAGTCTAACCGGTGCAAACCGCAAATCATGCTGACCAAGAAAAAAAACAAGGAAGAAACTTCAAGAAAGCGAAGGGAAAAAGAAAAGAAAAGAAAGCTAAGCTTGGACAGTTCCAAAGTTGCTGAGCATAGTTACAACTTACGGTTGAAGAAGGAGCTGAAGTGTGAGATGTGTGTGAGATCACGATAAGATTGTGGTGGAGATCATTTGGAACCTTTCCCACTTTCCACCGCCGCCTCGACCTTGGTTTCCAACCTCCCCGTTCCTTGGACCTGGAAGTGTGGGCACCCTCTTTTCATCTCAATAATTTAATCTATACTTCGTTTCTGCTCATGTCTCAAGTCCAGCCCCCTGGGTTGGCAGATCTGGAGAAGGAGCTGGGCTGCTCGGTATGGTCACGGATTGCCCTGTTCCAGAAGCATTCCATTCCTTTCGCCCCCTTACGTGTAACTAACGCTTATTTTGTTTTGTTTTTCTTTCTAGATCTGCACCGAGCTCCTATACCAGCCCCTCACTCTACTCGACTGCCTACATACCTACTGCGGCTCATGTTTGAAGGAATGGTTCACCGCACAAGGAACCCGCCGACAACCCCGCAACGCATCTCCCAAGTTCACCTGTCCATCTTGTCGTGCCGATGTGCGCGACACCCGCCCAAATGCTACAGTCACAACACTATTGGATATGGTCTTGGTGGCCCAGCCCGATCGCACCCGATCGGAGGCTGAGAAGAAGGAGATCGCAGAACGGTATAAGCCTGGTGACTCGGTTTTCCCACCACCGCAGGCGGAAACTGGAAGCTCAGAAGATGAATTCATGCATGAGATTCGAGAGATGAGCCTTCGTGAGAGTCAGGGTGACTCTCGACGGGAGGAGCGCCGCGAGGAACGCCGACGAGTACAAACAGAAGCGAGCCGCGCGAGAAGCAGTAACCCGGATAACCGCCATGGAGACGATGGAAGGTCTCGGCGGAGACGAGATGAAGACTCTGGTCATCTTTCGGCTCGGACTCACGGCGATTCTGAACGTTCGAGACGTGTCGAGCACCAATCGAGCTTACGGTCCCTACTTAGCCTATCATCCGAGACGGAGACAATGGAAGAAGAGATTCTGCGACAAATCATCGAAGAAGGATTGCTCAATGATATCGATCTTGAAAATCTAGGACCCGCACAGGAGGAAGAGCTCAGTGAACGCATTGCCGAGGCATACCGTCGAAGACACATGCAACAGTCAGATCCCCGCCCAGCTCAAAGGCGGAGACAATCACCGGAAACCAGTTCACGATCACATATAAGGTCGCATTCTACCCAGAGAACGGGCGAGGCAGTATCGACACCCCGAGAACAAGGCGAAAGGCGACCACCTGTGTCTAGACCACACCTACTAGAATCCGCCGCACCACGCCCGACCTCAAATCACCAACGACGAAATTCAGAGCAAGGCAGTGGCAATCGGCGAACATCTCCCGTGCGAGTAAACCAAGCATCCAACTCAGATGAGTCTTTAAGGCCTGCTGTTCGATCCTCGAGCGATATGACGGCAGAGCGCACTCGTAGTTCTCAGACTGGGCGACCGAGGGCAGAGTCATCATCTCGACGACCACGACGAGCCACCGAATCGGAACAGCCACTCTCCGACGTATGGATAAGTGGTGGAAGAGAAAGAACTTCCTCCCGGAATCCTACAACAAGTCAATCTGCGACAAACTCTCCTACTACTGTTACCTCGCCATTCAATGCCTCTCATAGCTCAACCCCAACAGAACATGCCACCCCACTTTCCTCGCCACTTGTTCCTCACAGATCTGAAAGACGACCTAGACCATCCTCGTCGCGCCCGAATGCCCCACAGTCTCCCAGCATTCAATACGCCGAACCTTTGATCCCGTGTGATCGATGCGGAAAAGCCAACATTCAATACGATTTGCACAAGAGATGCTTTAAGTGCAAAGATGGAAAATACCATATTTGTCTACGATGCTATCGCTCAGGCCAGGGTTGTCTTGCATGGCCCGGCTTCAAAAACACTGCGCTGGCAACATTTGAATTAATGCTGGCATCTTCAAATGGCCAGCCAGCACCTACCAAACGTCGTAGTATCCATGTATTAGGCTCCTTCAAATACCAGAAACCTGCCGAGACAGCTCGAACCACAATGAGTGGAGAAACGAAAATGACGACCGATAATCCAGTCCGTCGCCTGGGGACTGGGCTATTCTGCGACATTTGCATGTCTTCTACCAATGAGTGCTACTGGAAATGCAATCAATGCAACGAGGGAGACTGGGGATTCTGCAATCGTTGCGTAAACCAGGGAAGATGTTGTACACATCCACTATTACCAGTCCGCCGCCTAGGTGGGATCTCTACCTCAACGGGCACCGCGAATGACTCCCCAGTCATCGAAAAGTCGGAAAGCTATAAGATTTTGTCCTTTTCCACCAACTGCGACATCTGCACTTACCCAATTCCAGCATCTGTTACAAGGTTTCATTGCCTCGAATGCAACAATGGCGACTACGACGTTTGCACAAATTGTTATCTCAAGCTTGTTGTAACCTCGAAAATCAGCAAAGAAAACGGGCATAGCGGATGGCGCCGCTGTTTGCAAGGGCATCGAATGATTATCGTTGGCTTTGAAGACCATCAAGACGGACAAAGACGCGTCATTGTGCGAGATCTCGTGGGAGGTCGAGCACTTAAAGACGAGCATGTGAATCGATCACCATCTTCATCGCCTACCGTCACTGGGCCAATTGCATCCCCAGAACTCGGCAGTGGAGACTGGAGCTGGAGAGAAGGCCAAGAACGCCGCAAGAAGGCTTCTCGTTTGCGGGCTCTTATGGGCTCCCAGACTAGCACAAACACGTCGCCTGCAGACTCTCCAATCCAGAGCCCAGGCACTCCTACCTCTCCTCACGCACCTTCTCTGCGACGCTTTCCTCCCGATGGAGGCGTAGGACTCATTGTTCATGCATTGTGGTCGTGGTACCCTGAGGAGGACATTCAAGATGAACTCGTCTTTCCACGTGGTGCTGATATTACAGAAGTTGAAAATATTAATGACGAGTGGTTTTGGGGATGTTATGCTGGACGTACTGGGCTCTTCCCCGGTTCACATGTTGTTGTTACTCGAGAGGCATGAGCTTTTCCCCGTGAAGACCGAAGACTCAGGGTTTCTTTTTGCTTTTTGTATGTCACGTGCATGAAGTTATGATTATATTAACGATAGCGAAACTTGAGAAGAATGCATGTATGCTGAATAAGGTACAATTGAACGCAGAACTACATACCTAAAGCAACTAGACACCTTTATAAAAATTTGTAGCCTCCTGAATATCAACCAAGAAGTTGCCTAACGTACTTATCAAAAAGCTCCTTTTGAGACCAGTAATATTAAACCAAATATAGGGAGCGTAGAATTTAGGTACTTGAGTGTGAGATTGTGCCCCCACTTGAATCATTTCAGAGGTTTCTAAAGAGTACAATCCTCTATAGGTGAGCCAAGTCAATGCTCTCCAGGCCACATCAATGCTTTTCTATCTCTGTCAATACTCTCAGATCTATGTCAATGCCCTCGGAACCAGACCAATAAGTTTCTCCGGGGTTCATATCAAAACCGAGCCGTAAACCTTCTGTCAATGCTTTTTTCTCTCTGCCAGTGCTATTGAATCCATACAAAATGGCCGTTGTCCCCAAGAGTCCCTCGGACCACGGCCCGGGTTCTACTTAGAGACCACTAGATACAGGCAGAAGAGAGATACCGCATAACCAATTAATAGATTCTCATCATCATAAAGGCATTATTAAACTCATACTAAAAGTGATATCAAAATACAGCGAAAAACAAGACTGCCTCCAAGTTCATATTGGGAAAGAACCCTCCTACTGCAATAAAGCACACATCAAGTTCTGATAATCACCTGAAGTCTCTCCACGCACGCGGTCAATCAAGTCTTTATGGTACTTATGACGATAAGCCCGCTTCACCTGTTCTTTATGATCCCGGTTCCAGTGTATGCGCACAATCCTGACGACAAGGCGCTCATCCTTTGTGCCCGCACCATCCATAGCCTGCTCAAGTAAGATAGCATCACGCATAGCCGGATCCGAAGCACCCTGCGCCATAAACCACAATGTATCTTGCATATGACCAGAGTATTTGTCCATAATAACTCCAAGAAGCGAAGTTCGCCACTTAGCATGGCACTCATGATCCAAAGCCCGAAGCTGAGCATTGGATGCACGTCCAAAGATCTCGCATACCCTATCCATATCTCGCTTCTCGTACACAATAGTTGCCCACATCTTCATCTCCTCTGGGTTGGGTGGGACAGACTCCTCCGTTCGCCGGGCCGAGATGATATGCTTGAACAGACTGGATGTCTTGAATGACAAGTCATCTGCAATATCCATATGTAACTTGCGATGGTACTTGTGCTCATATGCTATCCTGATCGCATTCATATCTGCGTTCGAGCGTCCAAGAAGTGCCTCGTTCATCATCCATTCTTTTGTGCCCATTCCATCCACTGACTCGTGCGCACACTCAACATCATGGCCCAATGGCCCCTCAATCACAGCTAACAGCCCTTGTCGCAGGTATCCACCTGCCTCGCTCTTGACGTCCTTGTACAGATCCCGCCCGATATGCTGCGAGTATGAAGCGCGTACGGCAGCCACCTGCAGTGGATCAAGTCGCGCGAGTACTCCGATCATTGCTGCCTCGTCGGTTCCGAAACCCTTCATCGCTTTACGGAGGACATCAGCTTCCCGACGGAAATCGCCTGGCGCTTTCTGTCCTGGTGTGTAACCCAGCGATGGCATCGATGGTCCGGCGAAGGAATTAGGCCCCGGCACACCCGGTGGTACAGGGGCGCCTGGCATGCCTGGTCCACCTAGAGGTGGTTGGCCTGGTGGAGGAGCGTGACCTTGTGAGCCTTGCGCAAAGGGTGGAGGCTGGTTGAATCCTGGCTGGGGCGATGGTGCATGGTGGTAGCCGCCCTGAGGAGGAGCGCCGGGAGGAGGAGCGCCATATCCAACCGGGGGTTGAGGTGAAGGTGCACCGTATCCAGCTGGTGGAGGACCGCCGTAGGATGGTTGGGGTGAATGGCCATGATATCCGGCGGGCGGAGGTCCATTTGGTGGAGGTGCACCGTATCCCGTGGGAGGCTGAGGCGAAGGTGCATGGTATCCGGATGGTGGAGGTGCGCCGTATCCAACGGGGGGTTGGGGCGAGGGTGCGCCGTGATAACCGCCTTGGGATGGGGGCGGCTGGCCATATTGACCTTGTTGAGGTGGGTAATGGCCCTGAGGAGGGCCCTGGGGAGCACCGTATTGTTGTTGGTAACCTCCCTGAGGAGGTTGTCCGTATGCGCCGTATGGCGGCTCTATGTCACAATATGCGAATTAGTATGAACTGCGGGGCAAGAGGGGTACATATTCTGGGGTAGAGACGCAAGGGAACTCACGATTTGGTGGGGGGTATTGATAGGACATTATGATTCTTTTTCTTTAATCTGCCGCAATGGTAAATAACGTTGTTGATTTGTGTAAGAAGCAAAGTTGGAAGACCCAGAGTTAAGTAACTAGTAACTGGCTGCTTATGGTCCCTGGTTCCTTGTGGATTCAGTGTGGCGCAGTCGACTTGGTTTGGTGGGGGGGCGTGTACTGCCTTGTGGATGCTTTCTAGAAAAAGATATGACGCACGATGATGCTCAGCCTTGTCGGATCGGATCTAAACTCACGAAAAATAATACTGAGAACCATTATTTCACATAGGCAGAAATGAAACTTGTGGCGCAATTAATTTGATAAAAGAATGTAAAACTGATCATCCATTAAAGTCCTGCTTATAAATAAGATGAAAAGCTAAACTATACATCAGTAACCCAACCATGGGTTGTACATAAAAAGCCCATGAACTAAAAAATCGTCAAGGTCATATCTTCATGAACATAATCAGATGTCCACCAGCCCAGGTTGTAAATAGTTAGCCTTCGTAAAATAGACCGCGAGGTCAATGCAACTCTTGTATCATAAAACGTTGCCTACGCCAATGCTAGAAGCCAAAAGTAACAGAGCAAAAACAAGATAGAAAGTGGCGAGGGTAACAAAACAAAACAGAAATAGGAAAGAGAGTAGAAGACCAAGCTTCGGGGTATTGTAAGTCGTAAAAAATTGAAGTGGCAAATCATATACATCATAGGGCAAAAAGGAAAAGAACATAACATTCAATCAGACGCTAGCAGTGCGTCGCTTCACCTCACTTGGCTTCTGCGCGTAGGCAATTAACATGCGAAAGCCAGTGCCGCGATTTTGACACTCACGAAGGACCTTGCGGTCATTCCACATGCTAGGGTCATTGTCTTCGGTATCGGGAAGGACAGGATCCTCATAGCACTTCGTATACCACCAGCGACCAACACGAGCCACAATCTTGGCAATTGACTCATCATTGGCCGCGGAAGGTGAGGGGTCAGAGAGGAGATCTCCAAGGGAGACATTGGTATCGTCGGAAAGAGACGATTTGGAAGCCGTTTGGGTACTTTGGCTACCTGTGGTGGTTACCGAAATAACCGGTATTGAGAATGCAGTAGAGGCAGTCGTTGTAGTCGCAGAGTGAGACTTGTTTGAAGAAGAAGCAGTTGAGCCGGAGGAGCGAACAACCATTCCCGCTACAGGAATCCGCACCATGCATCTGCGAAGATTGTCAAAGCCCTGCGAGCCAATGAGGCGTTGGACGTTGTCGGTGCTTGGCTTAAGGCTTATAGACGGGTTGGCAAGACATGTCATCTCTTTGAGTCGACGGACGGCTTTGCGGGTTCGTGCGCCCATGTTCATCATATCTCGGTCTAAAATGCTCACTTCCAAGTAACCACCTGAGCGAAGGACGCGCTTACATTCCTGAACTATGTTGTTTTGGATTGCCTCGGGGCCAGCCGCAGGGAACCGTAACACCGCGACAGCAAAGTAGTCCTTTGGGAATGGAAGTGGGTTCTGTAGGCCAGCATGATAGACTGTATGGTGGTTTGTAGGAGGTTGCCATGCGGCAGGATGAGGCATCGGTGTAGAGACAGGTCGGCGACTCAAGCTGTATACCTCCGCGTCTGGATAAGTCAATGAGCAATAGAAAGACCAGTCGTCATTTCCAAGTCCGTCGATCACAAGGATTCTTCCATGTGTTCCAGTCTTGACGTGATTGTGAGCAGGACTGAAGAGGACACGTCCAAATGATAGCCAACGACTAGTCATGAGGGAAGCAGATCTCATGTTTGTGCGAGTGACAGCATCCCATTCTCGCTCTGGTGAGCCCAGTATAGATTTGCGCTCATTTTGAGACTTTTGGCTAGGGTTGGGAGCTGTGGCCAAAGACTGAAGAAATGTGGACTGTTGTGCTTTGACATTATCTGAGACGCCTTGAGTTGATTTTGTAGGACTCTGGAGGTCGTCATCCCCGTAGCTTGCAATAAGGTTGCTGTAGGATGGCTGAGTGGATGGAGAGATTGATGAGTGCAAAGCAGATACGATTCGGGAACGACGCAAGCGAATGGAGTCGCTGCTAGATCGGATCGATGCTTCATCGGGGACGAATGAGCCCGGACAAAGGGAACTGTGGTTATTCAATTCGTCCTGGAGAGCTCTACTCGCCATTGTTGCCATTTGGAATCTCTCATCTCCCTCATGTTTGTCAGACTCATCGGGGTTTGGCTCTTCGGGTGACAAAACATGATCAAGCAAATCATCATACTCCCCCCAAACTTCATCCTCCGTAGGTGCAGTATTTGCCTTGGGAACCACTGATGTCACTGCTGCCAAGGCTCCTGAGCTGCTTGACGTTGTAGAGCCCTTGTGTGGCGGTGAAAAATGAAGAAACTCGCTGGCCGAATAAGGCCCCGTGAGATAGTTCAAAGCACTAACATGTTCAGACGCGCTTGAGGGCTGATTGAAATCATAGCCCCAGTCCGGTACCTTACTCGTGTTTTCTGCTTGTCGTTGCCAAGAAGGGTCATTGAAACTGGGATAGTCCTGTCCACTTCGCTGTGCGGGAGCCGGAATCGGTGGTGGGGATTCCACAACACTGAAAGGCCGAGAGAAAGATTGCATAGCCGGTCTGTGTTGTCTGTCACGCCTAGAAACAACTTTCGGAATACGGCCAACAGAAGCTAGTCGTCTAGGACGGCGATCTTCTGGGCTGCTTTCGGGCTCTGAATCCATGAGATTGCGGTTGAATAAGGCGGTCTTCGGAGACGGACGGTCATCTTTACCAAATTCGCCTTGAAGTTTAGGAGGCGATGGCAGCAATATAGACGGGTGTCTTTTTCTTATGTTGAGACCTGCTGGGACTTCTACCGCGGGCGCAATTTTCTCCTCCTCAGTTGGCGGGGAATCCTCGAGCTTGCCAATAATATCATCAAGCTCATCTGAATCCGCATCAACAAATGCATAGTGTGCAACGGGGCGAGTTCTCAAGGCTGGTGAAATAGCTGCATGTAGCTGAGCAGTGTGAGGTGCAGCTACAGGAGAAGGAACAGAAGCCTTAGGCTCTTCGGGCCGGTTTCTTTGAAACAGATTCCACCGCGAAGATTTTCCTTTCTTGTTGACTTGTTGGTTCTCCTTCGCTGGCGCTGGAGGTTGATTCGAGTTGACAGCTCCCTTCGAAGTCTTGGGAGCCAGAGAGGTCGTGCTAGTGTTAGAGAGTGATTTTTGTGTCTTAGCAGCTTCGGAGCTTGCATAAATCCCTTGGCTCTTACCCTTGGGAACTGGCATCCGAGACTTCGAAGGTTGTGGTTGAGGATTATCTGCAAGCTTAATGCTCTTTTCCGGACTCCGGCTTCGAGTAGATTCCAAAGCAGTGGTGGACTCGCTAGGAAATATTAAATCATCCAAAATACCAGTAGAGTTTGTCACTAACGAATCAGTGGATTGAGCGGTAGAAATCGTCAGTGGTGTAGGACGAGCAAGACTAGATGATGTAACGCTGATACTGCTCATACTTTGCTCGCTTTGGGTTCGTGAAAGCGTTGAACCTTCCATTCCTCCGCCACTGATAATAACTGGTTCAAGACGGCTCAATAGGAAATCGTCAAGATCAAACTCAGGCCGGTTTGACATGCTGCCCTTGCTGCTAGCAACTGATTGAGACGCGCTTCTAGTTGTACTCGTTGATCGAGTTCTGGGATCAGAGGCGCTGCTCGCGCTTGTTTTCCGACCGCGCTGGCTGTATTTTCCATATCCTTCATGACCGGTTCCAGCTGCTGGACCCTTCCGTGCCGCTGAACGATTCTGTTCGCCGGCATTGCTTTCCAGCTCTGGCTTGGACTTCTTCGAGAAAAGACCAAATCGCTTGCCTGTGACCGGTTTTGCTGAGTCGTTCTTTTCCTTGGGCACGTTTTTGGGGGGATCCTTGGTCAATTTCGGTGATTTGCGTGTCTTGAGTGGAGATCCTGCTTCCCGAGATGGGATCTGAGAGAGATCTTTGGAGCGGAAAGAGTCCACGGATATTGTAGCAGATTGGTTTAAGGTGGAATATGGCTGGGGAGTTGTACGTATTTTCTCTATAGATTCACGTCTCGTGTGGCCTGTTGACTTTAGGTATGGCAGATTACTCTGTATCACTGGAGATGTCTCTAGATTCAGGCGATGGGTACCATCTCGACTTGGTCGTGGTGGTGTCTTCGGGACAGTCGCCTCCGGGCTGGAGGGATTGGTGATTGTTCGCTTATGACTTCTGATAACTTCACGTTCGGCTTCCTCAACTTCTCTTCTGGCCTTCTCCACGTCTATATCAGAGTCTTTGCCTGGGGAGTCTTTTGGCGGGCTGAAATTCACAGATGACTTCCTTGGCGGTGGGCTGTGAGGAGGACCTTGAATTCTTGTAGGGATAGACCCCGAACTCTGTTTTGTCGGAATGCTTGTGTTTACCACCGGGCTTCGGGTAGAAGGTCTTTGAGGAGTTGCTGTTCGGTGAAGCTTCAACTCTTTCCCTTCGCCTTGTGCACTTTGGGGGCTTGCAAACACCGGGGGCGGGGTGAATAATGGAAGTCTCGTTTGGGATGGACTAGGCTGTCTTAAGCGTCCAATCTTACTTGAGTGCATAATCCCAGGCGAGTATGATGACATCGAGGTCGGAGTGGAGCCACGACTCCACATGCCTGGAGATTCAGAATACCTTGTGGATGGGCTGCTCGCGGATGGAAAGCCATGTGAAGGGGGAGGAAGATTCTGAGTACTGACTGTAGTCCGGAGACTCGCCAGCTCTGCTGGTCCTTGAGTCATCGGAGACACCACTCCACTCTTAATTGTCTTTTCGCTTGAACTTTTGGAGGATGCAGATGCAGATACAGACGGCCCGGCGGAATATGCATCTGGAGTAAAACCCCGCATGGGGTCCTTCATATTGCTTGGCTGGTCTTCCTGTGGAATCACCAGACTAAGCTTCTGGGTTTTATTTTGCTCCACATGCTTCCCTATTAATGGCGCCTTTCTGCGAAGAACATTGCGGGTTCTTTTGGCAGGTGGCGTTTGCGTTTGCGTGTGCGTTTGCACTTCGTGGCTGGGCGCAACTGTGGGCGGGATTGCGAGATTAGGAGAAGAAGAAGACGATGGAATAGTAGATGGAATAGGAATTTGAGTTGATGTAGATGCTGGTGGAATTAAAGATGACAGACCGCCAGTAGTCGGCCGTGGCAACAATGATAGTCGTTTGGAGCGAGGAGCGGCCTGATATGTTGCTCTTGGGGCCGGTATTTGGCCAGTTTCGTCTGAACTAGACACAGATGAAGCACGACTAGTTCGCGGGGTATAGTTCACTGGCTTTGCCAATTGGGATCTTGGAAGTTGGGAAGTATAAGGGACATTAGAGTTGGACGGCCGACGTGATGAATCTGCAGGAGCAGCAGCATTTGGCGCCATACTACGGCCACCAAAATTGTACGACATGGTGCAACGGTGACTGAAGTCCCTGGGTCCAATGTTGAGACAAGTGGTAAAGTGATGGGTACATGTGCATCAAGATAGTAATCATAATGCTAGTTCAAAGTATGTCGGGGATGGCACTGTATGCATGGGGGATAAGCTTCCATAGATGTTATAGAGAACAGGGTACCAAATGACGTACAGAAGAAAAACCGTCAATTCATTACTTTCATCCACGCTGGTCACCAGGACTCTTTTGCAGGCGTAAATTGTATTAATAGAGGCGTAGTAGGGAATCGAGATTCGCAGTGAGGTATCTCAACGGGCACGTAAACAAAAACTATACAAATGCAACAAAAAACAATCAATAATCATTAAAATGCAGGGTCATTAAGCGTAGGAAATTAAATCCCCGGCGACCGTCAGATAGATAAAAGATTGAAATTCACCGACTTTGTCAGGCTGATCGGCATCGAGCTGCAGCTGCTTCGCCACAGTCTGGAGCACTGTGGCACAGGATTTTCCACTAGCCTCGGCCACGTCAGTGGGTAAGAGATCCATAAGAGCCTGAAATGAAATCAAAATAGGGTTAGACTTTTTCGGTTGCAATAGAAAGAGAAAAAAACTTGGTATAGAGTAAGAAGAAGAGGAAATAGAAGAAAAAAAATTCAGAATCATGTCATCCCGCAGAGGTACGCAACTTTTTGTATGTGCTGACTCGGGATTTCGCTCCCCTCTTCAATGTGGGGGTAAAAATCTAAAAATCTAAAAAAAATAGAAAATTCTCCTCAATACCACCAACAACCATATAGAATGCTGAAAGTGGCATCATAGGGGTTTTCGAATTTACGGCTATGCCGCTACTGGATAAGGAGAAGCCATACGACCCGATTATCATTGGTGCACGGCAAACACGCTGTGATGAGTCGAGACTACGCTACGGGCTAGACCTGTAGCTAGACCTGTAGGAAGCACATCCTGAGCCGCCGGATCGTGCAGGTCTTGAAGCCACGGCCCCAAAGGCCCTACGCTACAAACTTAATCCCTATCACATCGACCTGTTGAGTCGTGACAGGATTGTGCGCACGGAAGCTCGCATGGAGGGGAACCGAAAACCGGCCCACTCGAGACAGTGTTTTGTCCGTCTTCTGCCCGGTTAGAATGGAAGAATCTACTATCGTTGGTCGGAAGTATTTGGTCTAGGCAAGAGGGTTTCGGGGAAAGGCTATCAGCGGCATTGGTCTACATTGGCTAGGACTCCGGAGTAAATGTACATGTCAGTGGCGTGGAGCGTGGAAGTTGGGGGAGAGGCATGTTCATCCGCGGTTTTGCCTTGAACAACATTCCACAAGAACTTGGGATTTCACAATAACTCAAACCCAAAATCAGCGACATTGAAGCTGAACATCACGATTTAGTCGAGCTTGAATTCTTAATTTGTCCTGTTAGGGGCCAGTATTCGTTCACCGCGTCTGCGTCGCCTCGTTGACAACACATCGATCGGGGACGCCGAACACGATCTCACTGCACCGTCGATCCTCAATACTTGCTTTTTAGAGGTCTCTCAACACACGGCTTTTCTTACTTGGCTGTTCTTAATTTTATGTATTTTTGTAAAAAAATTTCTCTTCCCTCCCCGGACTCGGAGAATTTCCAAACGTGGGCGTTAGGGCCCCTGCAAGCTTGGTAGTAGTTTCAGATGGTACATCTCCCATACTTGCATCTGCATCTGCAATAAGACTTGGGTGAAACCTGCCCTCTCGTGCCCCAAGGAAAGGTGACACCATATATTCCTGATTCATAAGATTCCGTAAATTACCATCTAATACTTTAAAATCATTATTTAACTCATCTCCGTCAAATCATACCAGAACCGTTATCCAGAGTCTGGTACGAAAGGCCCGTCCCGCGCATTTGACCAGGGAACCACATCCTTGTCTGACTCAGAAGCCCCAAAAATCAATAAAACAGGCATAGTGGAGACGAATCCTCGTTTCTGCACGAGAAAACATATCCCGGAGTACCTATAGTTGGACTCGTAAGGTGTCATCGACCAGTGACATGTCTGGACACCTGGGCAGCCTCATGGTATAGATGGCCTATAGCCCCAATCCCGGTGTTTAAAACCCCCCATTAGGACCACTGCAGCGGGTTAGCCTAGTAGGCTGTGATGCTCCACCAGGATTCCCAGCAATGAACGACGGGGACAGTGGTGCTTGACGTACTTGACCGCCCTATCTACTTCTAGCCCCAGCAGCCACCGTCTCAAAAAAGCCATTGCTGGCCTCAGATTCGCCAGAGCAGGCTCAACCCAAGTGGGGAACGGCGGCAAACGCAGCACTGTCCGGGCTCATGGGGAATGAGCCAGGGTTTCTCTGTAACCGTACTTGTGCGCGGGATTTTGAATCTTTTTCCACTTGAACTCAATAATGAGTGCGGGCGTTTCTTTGTTTCATGATTCAATAATCTAATGTCGTCGAGCTACTTAGATGGCGCTTTCGTACAAGGTCTGTGGGTTGTCGATCTCAAATGCCGATCTGGAGGGGCCATGCCGGGTTGTTGGGGCGTGCGGGCGCAAGAGTGGCCAGCTGCGACGCTGCAGGAACCAGAAGCTAATGCATCTTTCAGCTGACTGCGCATGCCCATGAGACTTGGCAATGCTGCTGTACGCAGTATTGAGGTTTCTCTACTCTACGACAATGTAAGAAGTTGAGAAGCACGGCAGTAAGATACCTTTTTTTATATTTTGATATAATCAAGGGTAAGAATGCATTTTATAAACACATTTTAAATGGTAATCTTGATTTTCATTCGAATCACATAAGAAACACATAAGAAACACATATCCCCCAAATCGACCATTGAGTTCCTTGCTAGCATCTTGGTACAAACGCCCCGTAAAGACCTGAATATGTAAAGACAAAAAGAGAAGGGAAAAGAAAGGAGTGAAAGAGCAGACAATTGGTCGAGAATATCAATGGAAAGCTCGGTACAACTTAAGCCGCAGTCGCAAATCGCTTCTTACGAGCCTCCATTGCTGAGTTATCCTTCTCACTCCAGCTCTTTTGCACTCTATTCGGTGCGCCAGGACCGTTTTTCGCAACACCACCACCACCACGGTTCTGGTTCTGGTTGCCATCTCCACGGCGGTTGCGATTGCGTCCATGCCCATGATCACGACGCTTACCGCCACGACCGCCTTGGTCATTGCGAGAGCGCTTACGCCTCTCCTCAGGAAGAGCCTGATCCAAACCCTTCACACTAACACCGGCTTCGGCTTCAGCGCCAGTGCCGAAGCGCTTAGCCCGTGCCAGTGTTTTCTCGGCTTCCTTCAGAGCTGTTTCAGAATCCTCGACGATGCCGAACTTCTCTGCACGAGCTTTACGCTTCCGCAATTCCTCCTCGAGCTCAGTCGCGGGTAGACCACGGGTATAATCAACAGCAGGCTTTGTCTCAGCCTCTGGAGCGGCCGCAGGCTCTGCCTGGCCAGTTGCTTCCACTTTCAAATCGTCGGTAGTCGCAGGATCGGTGTCTAATTTCTGATTGGGGACTGCAACGGGGTTGGCAACAGCGCCCTTGCCGCCGGCAGCAATGGCGTTGGCACCTGCTTCGGTAGCAGGCTGAGGGTCCGCTGATGAATCGGCAGGTACGTCGTCGTCCCAATCGATGACATCTTCGGCGGCACCGGCTTCGGGAGCCGCGGCGGGTGCTCCGGTAGATTCTTTCTCGTCATCCTGCTGGATACGAGCAACCAGGTCCGCCTTTTTGCCGGTATGAGGCAGTGAGCGACCCTTCAGGATCTCCACAAGCTCGGCGTTGGTCTTCTTGCTGTAGTCGGTGGACATTTTGGATGCGATTTGTTTGAGAGATATGGTATTGTTGGAGGGGAGGAGGGTAGATTCAGGAGAAGAGTTCCGGTCGTTGAAATCGATTATTGATATATCACTGTTGGGTTGCGTTCATTATGCGACGGTTGCGCCTGTTAAGATTGATAAGGTCGAGGTGAAAGCTGAGCTGGTGATGGAAGTGAATTGAGGACGCGCCTGCGCGTTCGGGTGCACATCACGTGATATTTATACGATTTGCATGGTGGCAACCATCTTCACTTCAACTATTCAATGCGGTGGCATTACCTACTGCCCAGGTGACCTTGAATTATTACTGATTCTCAGTTGATTAGCAGGCATTAGCTCAATACACAAAGCCAATGCGAGGCCATCAATTGTTTACGCTCTTCGGCAGGGTAGTGGCAATTCCTAGGTCATTGCGATGGCGACTAAACTTATGATTCACGTCCACCACGGCGATCCCGAATGGAAGGCAGAATTATCCAGCGTTTAGTTTAGTGTCAATTTACTTTGATTTTTAAATTTCAACACTTACTATTAGGAACCTGCCGTCCAAGCGCCGCTGCACAGACAGAAATTCTCCGGCTATACTGGATCCATGCGCCACCTGAATAGGGTACCAAGCTATAGCTTGGTTTTCTTGGAAACTCCCTTGACCTTTTGCATCATCCGTGCGGTCTGAGTCAGAATTTGACAGCTGTTCAAATTCCATAGCTGGAAAGTCCTTGCGGCGCGAAATACATACTGAATCTTGGAAAGTGTTGGTCTTGCATTTGCTGCGCCACAACCTCAACTAGCGGTCAACGCCACCTGATTCCTGGGGCAGCACAATTTGGCAGCCTTACTTAATAAGCATCGATATATGTTAGTTAACTAGTCAACTACATCAATTGATGTGTGTACTTCAATCCTTCTTATACATCATTCAATAGTAGTCCACATCTTGACACTTCAGAAATATTTATCGAACGTTTGTCAAGAATTGTCTCAAAATTATTAATTTCGTTCTTATAAACATGCCTAGCACGGATACTGCTAAGTCTGAATGTAGTATGTGTTTCCAAGGTTAGACATTCGTCGAATCCATCATGATTCACACAACAACGAGTACCTAGTAGTACAATCCTGGAAGACAGGCACATATATATTCGGAGAATCATTGTGGTAGTACTACTATGTACAATTGTTTTTGTTTTTGTTTTTTGTCATCTTGAAAGACGCATGATATTTCATATATATGAAGCAGCGGCTGAGAGTGCCATGCACGGACACACATAGGTCCTAGAAAAAACTACCCATAGAACCAGTATTCTGCCGCATATTGAACCTCCAGGGTCTTGTTAAGCCTGGCACATGTTGAGGGTGCCGATCCTTGGTATGTCATGACTCGATAAACTTCCTGTAGTGTCCGTCAGAATATAGCCATCGTAACATGGGTCAGTTTACACTTACCTGAATCCCACATCCAGATGTGCGATCAAGTTTTAGCCAGGGAACGTTTTGGTCTGCATCAGTGCTCGTCTGGGGTGCATCAACCGATGCATTCTTCGAGGCAACAATCCAATCCCGCCGGCCGCTCAACCTGAAATCTATAACAGGGGATCCTGCTGCATTGAAGTAATGCTCTCCAAGAATGAGGTCAGTTGTGTTTGTGGTGTGACTCAGGAGTTCTGCAAGAAAGGCAAGTGATCCAATAGGGGTGCTTCCAACGACAGCAGGTATCTCATGCAGCAAGTTGAGGGATTTGGAAGCGAGGCAAGAGGCGTCAAAAAGTGTGGCAGCGGCACCGATTTGCACCGGAGTTGAAGAAGCACTGGAGCTTGCGCAGGTATAGTTTTGTGTCCCCCGGCCAATGGCAATATATTTGAGTGTCAAGTTGGATGCAGGTGCAGGGAGGTAAACCGATGTGTCGTTCAGGGGGATGGTTGCGTTAGAGATGGAGCAGCTGCCCAGACTCATGTGGTCAAGCTCGTTGGAAATTCGAGAGAATGTGGCAGCTAGCCTCAAAGGACCAGGAAGAGCAGAGGCAGCGGATGTCCCCACAGCCAGGAAGACTGTCAGTGTTTGGAGGAGCATTGTAGTATATGTTTGTCACGTAAAAATAAGCCGGTGAACTTGAAAGAACTTCAGAAACGCAGAGAAGTAGAATGGATAAATTTCCTAAGTATGGAGATGAAGATCAGACGGAAATAATCTTGAAGACGAAGGAAATAATAATGGATAAAGGAGATGTTCTTGTTAAACAAGTGTCTCTATCTCTTTGGTGTATAGGCGAAACAAAGAAATCAAGGCTCAAAATCATTTCAGTGTTGTAATGGTTTCAGTGATGTAAATTGCCATCAGGCTGACTCGATGGTTCATGTGGCCCGATATCAACCCCATGTTCGTGGCTTGTATCTTTATATGCCTCACAAGGCATTTAATTAAATTCTCCTAGCTTGCATGAAGAAGTTTCGTTTATATTTCTACGCGCCGATCAACTAGACATGGCTCGGAGCGAAGGATCCGAGGGTGCTAAAATGGGTCTCTTTGTTGGCAGTTGACCAGCCCTCCACGAATGAAAAGCTGGGGATTAAAAAACCAAGCTACGGATCCTTTTACCTGCATAAATATAGTTTACACCGATTAACAGTTCTCGGTTTGATGCTTAGCCAGGTGCAATCATGCACATTCATCAAGTTCTATTGCGTAGCCTGGCGTACCCACCCTAGGGATTATGCTAGCCGCCAAGGTGTATCCATGAGGTCCAAAGGTCAAAGAATGGTCGACTTGAAAGTTTTTACTGGAAGATAACTGAGGAATCTTTCTTCAATTTAAGTGGCTGTGGCTTTGAAAACATGAGCATTGTTACCACCAAAATTCTCAATTTCTGATAACCCTTTCGTATTCTATCATACATGATCGATGTAAATGTTGCCAATGCCATAGTATACTTCAAATGTTAATACCCGAAGTATGTACTAGTTTCATCTGAGGTCACTTGCCATTGTAGTATATATGCTCGATACTGCCAAATTTAATCTATTTCTTCCCGGTTGACGCAGCCAAGGACTAAAATAGCAATCCTTCACTCACTGATACAGTTAGGGTAGGACATAAATAGTCTGTAAGCGCCTTGGGACGCCACGGCATTCAGATGGTATTTGGTCCTTTTTGTTGCACTACAACACAAATTTGAGGAGGCGGTCTAAATTTGATTCATTGAATAGACTCAAATTATGGAAAGATAGATTCAGTAAGTAAATTTCAAAATTAAATATACTGTTGTAAAGAGAAGCCTGATGATGCTGGCGATCCTGCAGGGGTCACGTGACATGGCCCTTAACCTTAGTCATCCACTCCCGCGACTTCATGGGCAACATGCTTTTTGCACCCAGCGCAGATCATCAGATACACAGCTTCCTTTCATCATCGATGTTGCCGTTTTAACGGTATCTTACCCGGATGTAGCTGCGGTTATACTGTCAATACCCACTACGCGATAAAATTCTCATACTTCACTCGGAATCTTCAGAATGTCTGACGGTAAGCTTTCTGCGCCTCCTTCTCTTTTCACCACCGTCACGTACTGATTATACCTTTAGCCGACATTGAAGCCGTTCGACGGCTCCAGGCCGAGCGCAATGCTGCTTCCGCTAGCAAGAAAGGTTCTAAGACCTTTGATTCGTCTAGTCAGCGCGCTGACAATTCGACCAAGGCTTCCCTTACCGAGTCCTTCGATACCACCCTTTACGAACGTGATGGAGCGGATAGGTTCACCGGTTACGACACATCTATCGCTGTGAACGGCGATGATGAGGAGATGGAAGATGTAAATGGCGGTCATAATTTGGTCGGCCAGTACACTGCTACAAGAAATCAAATTGACGAGATGGCGCATGGAAATGGTCTTGAAGAGGAGGACATGTTGCTAGGTCGTGAAAAGGCTGCGCGCATAGCTGATCGGGAAACTGATTATCAAAAGCGTCGATTCAACCGAGGAGCCTTGACACCAACACGCGCCGATCCTTTCGCTGCCAACGCGAACGCCGAAGGCGATGGCGATGGCGATGGCCAGACTTACCGCGAGGTCATGGCTCTTCGTGAACTTGAAAAAGAAGAAGAGCGTGTTCAGAAACTTATTGCTGAGCAGCGCGAGCGTGGCGAAGATGTTACCGAGCACCAGGCGTCTCTGAAGATGGAAGTCGACCAGGAGAATGCCGAGGATGGTGCAACTGTCGAGGCCGCCAGCAGAAAACGCAAGAAGCGCTGGGACGTAGCGACAGAATCCAACGAGGAGGTAAAAACCGAGACAACTTCGGAGTCGAGGGCCAAAAGATCTCGATGGGATGAAACGCCGGCCCCCGGTGGCCCAGAGGACGCGCCTAAACGCCGTTCACGATGGGACCAAGCCCCTTCTCTCACTGCTGCGACCCCTGTCGGTAACCAAGGCCTTGCCACCCCTATGCACCCATCTCAAGGTGGAGGGGCAGCTCCCGGTTTTGGAACCGATATCTCTGGTAGAAACAGCGATTGGTCGGATGAAGAACTCGACATGATGCTGCCCACGGAGGGATACAAGATTTTGGATCCTCCTCCAGGATATGAGCCTATCAGAAACCCCGCCCGCAAAATGATGGCTACTCCCGCGCCTACGGGCGGCACTGTCGGTGGCTTCATGATGCAAGAGCCTGAGAATATTCGTTCTATGGGGAAGGAACTTCCGACTGATATCCCCGGCGTGGGTGACTTGCAGTTCTTTAAACCAGAAGATATGGCTTACTTTGGCAAATTAATGGAGGCCGGAGATGAAACTTCCATGAGCGTGGATGACCTGAAGGAGCGAAAGATCATGCGATTGTTGCTGAAGGTCAAGAACGGCACACCACCTATGCGTAAGACTGCTTTACGTCAACTCACAGATAACGCGCGAAACTTTGGAGCGGGCCCATTATTCAACCAAATCCTTCCGTTGCTTATGGAAAAGTCATTAGAAGATCAAGAACGGCACTTGCTGGTCAAGGTCATCGACCGAGTACTCTACAAGCTGGACGACTTAGTTCGTCCTTTTGTCCATAAGATTCTCGTTGTTATTGAGCCACTGCTCATTGATCAGGATTACTATGCTCGTGTTGAAGGTCGGGAGATTATTTCCAACCTTGCCAAGGCTGCAGGTCTCGCTACTATGATCAGTGTTATGCGTCCGGATATCGACCACGTTGATGAGTATGTACGAAACACCACAGCACGTGCATTCGCCGTCGTGGCCTCCGCACTCGGTATTCCCGCCCTCCTCCCATTCCTCCGCGCTGTTTGTCGCAGCAAGAAGTCCTGGCAGGCCAGGCACACTGGTGTTAAGATTGTTCAACAGATCCCCATTCTCATGGGCTGTGCCATCCTACCGCATCTGAAGGGTTTAGTCGAGTGTATCTCAGACAACCTCAGCGACGAACAAGCCAAGGTCAGAACCGTCACAGCATTGGCTGTGGCTGCATTGGCCGAGGCTGCTAATCCTTATGGTATCGAAAGTTTCGATGAGATCCTCAACCCTCTCTGGACTGGTGCGCGCAAGCAGCGTGGTAAGGGCCTTGCGGCTTTCTTGAAGGCCGTTGGATATATCATTCCGCTCATGGATGAAGAATATGCCAACTACTACACTACTCAGATCATGGAAATTCTACTCCGTGAATTCTCTTCTCCAGATGAGGAAATGAAGAAGGTGGTTCTGAAGGTGGTGTCTCAGTGCTCTAGCACTGAGGGTGTCACCGCTGGCTACCTGAAAGAGCATGTCTTGACCGACTTCTTCAAGAGTTTCTGGGTGAGACGTATGGCTCTTGATCGGAGGAATTACCGCCAGGTGGTAGACACCACTGTTGACCTGGGTCAAAAGGTCGGTGTTGGCGAGATCCTGGAGCGTGTCGTCAACAATCTCAAGGATGAGAGCGAACCGTACCGCAAGATGACCGTGGAGACTGTTGAAAAGTTGATCGCCTCCTTGGGCGCAGCGGATGTTTCAGAGCGGTTAGAAGAGAGACTCATCGATGGTGTGCTGCACGCATTCCAGGAGCAAAGCATTGAAGACATTATCATTTTGAACGGATTTGGCACTGTCGTCAACGCTCTCGGCACTCGTTGCAAGCCTTATCTCCCCCAGATTGTCAGTACCATTCTCTGGCGACTAAACAACAAATCTGCAACCGTCCGACAGCAAGCGGCAGATCTTATCTCGCGTATCGCGATGGTTATGAAGCAATGTGGTGAAGACGCTCTTATGGGCAAGCTCGGTATTGTGCTTTACGAGTACCTTGGTGAAGAATACCCTGAGGTTCTGGGTTCAATCTTGGGTGCCTTGCGATCAATTGTAACAGTGGTCGGTATTAACCAGATGCAACCTCCTATCCGGGACCTGCTCCCCCGCTTGACACCCATTCTTCGCAATCGACACGAGAAGGTGCAGGAAAATACCATTGACCTGGTTGGCCGTATTGCCGATCGTGGTCCTGAATCCGTGAATGCCCGTGAATGGATGCGTATTTGTTTCGAACTCCTTGATATGCTCAAGGCCCACAAGAAGGGAATCCGACGTGCGGCCAACAACACCTTTGGTTTCATCGCAAAGGCCATTGGTCCCCAGGATGTGTTGGCAACCCTGTTGAACAATCTTCGAGTGCAGGAGCGTCAATCCCGTGTTTGCACAGCTGTCGCGATTGGTATCGTTGCCGAGACTTGTGCTCCTTTCACTGTTCTTCCAGCTTTGATGAACGAATACCGCGTTCCCGAACTGAATGTGCAGAATGGCGTTCTCAAGGCCATGTCGTTCTTATTTGAGTACATCGGTGAAATGGCTAAGGACTATGTCTATGCCGTCACACCTCTTCTTGAAGATGCGCTTATTGATCGGGATCAAGTCCATCGACAAACCGCCGCCAGCGTGGTCAAGCATATTGCCCTAGGCGTTGTTGGCCTTGGGTGTGAGGACGCGATGGTTCATCTACTTAACCTCGTATTCCCCAATATTTTCGAAACTAGTCCCCACGTCATTGACCGAATAATCGAAGCCATTGATGCCATCCGCATGGCTGTCGGAACAGGAACGGTCATGAACTACGTCTGGGCTGGACTGTTCCACCCAGCTCGCAAAGTACGAATTCCGTACTGGCGACTGTATAATGATGCATATGTGCAGGGTGCCGATGCGATGGTCCCATACTACCCCAACGTGGAGGACGATGGTATGGATCGACCGGAGCTGTCTATTATCGTCTAGTGACGATTTTGTAATTTCAAGGGTCTCATTTGCTTCTTTTCATTGCATAACTTATTCACCTAAGGGGTTTTTGTATTGTTTTACGAGCCGTTGTCTTCTTTCCCATTTTCTAGTTGCTTTTCCCATTATTTTCTTCATTTCATGCAGGGATGACCGGACGTTCGGCGTGGTTGTATATCAAAGACTTCAAAAGCTGGGAATTTGATCGATCAAATACATCATGATAGAACCTTTCAAGTTTTTGTAGTCCAAAATTAGATCCATCTACCAGTATTTAGGGCACAGCCTTAAAGGTATACGATGGTCAACGCATGTCCATATAATTTAGGTAAATTCAAAAAATTCAAAAGATAGACAAATTGTCTGCACTTGGTATCTATTTTATAGCGAAACCCCAGGTATATATGAAGAAACATTAAAGACAGGGCTGATCCATCCAGACGTTACAGTAGAGCTGATCACCCGCCTCAGATCCCGGCAGACCCTGGAAACAAGACCTGACAGGGGAGAATTAAGCAGTGATCGCTGAGTTTGATACGACTATCACTGTCAATCATGATTATCTTGGCTCTATCCAGCGCCGAGTACCTGGGGTTCGATATCTGCAGAAATCGGTGGCTGCGCCAGGATCTACTGTATAGTACCTTATCCGAGAGCTACTATGTATGTAACTCACTACAGCTCACTATCAATAGACTTCAAATCCTCCACGGCTGAGAAGGCAGACGAATTTTCCAAAACGCAACGAAGAGGGGGAATCCTACAACCCCCCTTTCCTTTCTTTTCCCTTTTTTCAAATTCCATGGTTTTGCCACCAGGATTCGCAAAAATAGAAAACCAACGCAGACTCGTAAGAACCCCAGGGGAGGGGCCGGGAAAACGAACAAGAACCTGTGATTCGAGTTTGGATCACGCAGATTTGGTCGTAACCCGTATTGGTCGTGAATTGGAGTAAATTTTTTTTATACTTTAGTCTTTCCCTTTTGATTATGTTTATTCTTTCTAACACTCTTTGCATTTTATTTTATTTTACTTTATTTTATTTTAAAAATTTTTGCCCTTTTTCTTTTCTTTCCTTGCGTAGAACTTTGTGGCATACTCGAGGGGGAAAGGGTGTGAACGATCCAACTTACTCATTGCCAAGAAGCGCCAAATGCCTAAGCTTGCCGTGGGAAGGCTTGGCGCAGGAAGTGGCCGCGTAAGCTCTCCATCGGACGTCAGGCGTACTGCTGGGATGTGGGGAATTGCGCGAAAATTCGTCTGGTCGCGGGAACCAGCCAATAGGAAACAAGGTGTAGGCACCGAAAAAAAGTGGGAAAATACGGAAAAGAGGAGAAAGTCTCAGACCCTTTTTTTAAACCTTTTTCTTTTCTCTTTCATGGCAAATCCTATACTTTGGTTATTTCTTTTTATTGATTTGATTCCCTTATTCTGCATCTGCACTATCTGTGATTTAGGTTTACAGGGCCCGGGCGAACACATTCTTGCCCTGCATATACCTAGGTACATTGTATGTATACTGTTGCTTCACTAGTATCCGGTTCTATGAAGGATGAAGGGAGTATGTTTGGAGTACCGGTACTAGTATCATCAACCCGTGTGTGATATCGGACACTATACTGAATGAGTTAAACTCGGATTGACTATGCACATATTCGGGACTCCGTAATAGCCTAGAAGAATAAAATTAAATAAGAAATCTCACTAATACCAACTTTAAAAAATCAATATTCAAAATCCAATTAAAAGATTCCAGTGTTCCCGTGTCCCGGTATCAGAATATGTCGCTGGACAGCCCATTCAACACAGCCTCCCCCTGAATTGGATATCGGAATCCTCATCCCCATCCCCAATCAGTTCTCTTTCTCGACGACTGGGGAATGAGAATGGAGAATATTCTATTATGTATCCTGGTACCACTGTATCCATCAATATCCAAAGAAGGTAATCCGTCCTTTGGAGTTACCGTGTCTGGAGTACTCCGTAAAAGAGGTCAAGCTTCTCCAGCCTTGCGTACATCTATTGGCTCACACAGATCCTGGGATAAAGGGGGGTAGGGTGTACGTGTTACGCACCAACATACTGTCACCAGAAAAGATCTGAGCCTACAATTCACAAGATCAAGTCTCCAATTCAATCCACATTGCCTCTCTCGTATAAGGTACACATCAGCTAGCTGTCTTTCTTGCCCCCATTTCAAAATTCACTTTCAGTGGCTTTTTACTTGGTGGATTTTCAGGGTCTACTTATCCTATTTAGGAGCCACGCTGGGGATCAAGGTTTTAAAGTTTGGTTTGCCTAGTTATTCTTTCTAATTTCTTGCAATTTAAATCTCTTGTTTTCTTCGCCTATTCATCTGGCGCCGCTGGTGGCGGCGGACACGGCTGGATGGTGGCTCTTCGGAGGCTGAACCCGCTTGCTCATTTCGAACTGTTGTTAATTGCTTCCGTACTCCGTTCTCCATGGGACCATGGATCCGAGCTGCGTTCGTGAATATGATCAATTATTATTATGAAATAAGTTCTTAGAAGATCGTGGGGGCGTTTTTGGCGCATCTAGTATGATCCCCGAAGACGCGCTTGAATCCCCACTTTAACAGCTTCTTTCGACCATGTGAGATACAAGGAATATGGAACTAGGGAAGATGGAAAAGGGAACCCGTGATTCTTGGCGGTTTCCCTTCCTTCTCTTCTCTTTGTTTGATATACGGAGTCCGGTGTTGTGTAGTATCTGTAATGTGTAGTATATGCATGAGAGAACATGATACGGTGATCTTCAACTGCAGAGATCAGACAATGCCCCTCGTATGGAGTGCCCTGTCAAGCATGCGAGATACCGGTATTTTCATGTGAAGTTTGGAGAGGGGGAATACAATTAAGAGACTCGCGACCAATGAGAGTCAAGCATGTAATCCATAGTATTGCGCAAGAAGGCAGGGGTCAGGGATTCTGGGAGAAGGCTTGCGCATTGGATGATTGGGAGGGCAACAATGCAAGTGGAACGCTATGAACCAATACTACAGAGCGAGGATGCAGTTGAATCCTAATGAGCGCAATGGTATACCCATACACACAGAGCAAGGAAAAGGACTACATTGAATACTTAACCAGGCAACGAAGAGGCCATAACGCGAGAAATTTTCTTCAAAACAAAGAGTGATAGTATTCTTGCAAGGGACTTGAGACCCTGCATCAACTCTCAACTATGACGGCGGCACTTCTAGGAGGAGCAGTGAGGGGCGCCATTCTAGTGGATCGTTAGGATGAAGTAGTGCGCTCCTTCTGTGGGCTTCATTATTTGACTACTGGTGCTAGGTGATGGTGTTCAAGTTGAAGATGTCATTGAAACGGCCCCCTTCCCTACCCCCCTTCAAACTGCCGCGGTCGACGCTCCAGAACAGGTAATATGTAGCCCCCAGACGGGACAGCCAGCATATGACATCTGCCAAGTAGATTGCGATCCGCTTTTTGCACCGTCTGTATGAAGATGAAGCTTGATTCCTGCACCTGGTAAGGGGTCAGACTATAGATGTATGTTATGTATCTTCTACTTTTTGCACATCGCGGGGAGCTGCGATATCAAGATCGGTGAGTGGGTAACACGGTGCCCACGTTTAGGGAGTGCACAACACATAGCACACACACCGTATGTTTGGGTCAGCCTTTCTAGGCCAGAGTAAAGTTCAAAGTTTGGGTTCACGGTCGGATATGTGCGATCGGAAATATTAAGAGGAGCCCGTTAAGGCCAACCAAAGTTGACGGCGGGGTTGTTTCAGTTGCCAAATCGGTACCTCTACAGATGATATCTGCACAAGCACCTAGTGTCTACGTATATGCTAGATATTGAGTAGGTACCAGTACATGTAGATGTATGGGATGTTTGGGCTGCATTTACTATGCATATGTACCCGTATATAGGCGCTATTTGGAAAGCAAGATGACATCGTGGGCTGAGCCTTCGAGTCTTGGAGACTTGATACGTAATGAATAAATGAATGGACCTCAGTACTAGCAAGGTGAGATTACATCGAATTTGAAAATGATACTACCTGCCAGAAGCAGGAAAGTCATCAAATTTGTCAATTTTGGAACGGTTCCTGGGATTCGGGACGAGGTTAGGCTAGGGAGAACCGTGGTGTGTATAATGCGTGGTTCAGACTAGAAAGAAAATATACAATAATAATTATTACAATTAATATTGTATTCACTATTATAATAAGTGGGTTTAATGGTATATAATAACCAGGACATATTTATTGCCTGGTAGAGTTAGTCACGAGAGTGTCCATTTCGATCTCGAACGGTTGGGGTGGACATCCTATTCAGGAACCAGTCAGCATCGAGGAACTCCCGATTGAGCCCAATCTGGGAGGAAATGGCCGGTGCGGATCCACACTTCAAGATGCGCCGGGCGTTTCAGAGTGTGATTAGCGTTGACCCTGAGGGTGGCAGTGTTCTTAGCGGCAATAGTGGAGACCCACCAGGATCGCACGCAGGGATCTCATCCTAGGGGACCAGGTCAACGGGCTTTGCGGGGATCAAGGTCCTGGGCTGATGTGTGGTGCCTCCGGTTCAATGTTGGGTCCTCCCCCATCACGTCATAAGCCTCAAGCCTCTTGCTTTTCGGTCCCATCCTTCCACACCCTACGTACATTATGTACCGAGAATGGGATTCGTGATTGACGTACTAAAATATGCTATATAAAAGCCTAATTTATCCTTGCTGTAAAATAAATAAATAGGATAAATATAAAGTGCTTTTTACTATTGACAAGTATACTTCAAGTATTGATCTTATGAATTCAGTTATGATCCCAATATTAGAAACATGATGAATTGCCTTTTTCCCGTCGCAATGCGGGTTTCTGTGGAGGACACAATGTCTCTACTCATACCACGTTGACCAAGACAACGCTGCACGGGACAAGCACGCGTCAGCTCCCAGTGGGTCGAAGTGAATAATTGTATTTCAATTGGTCGATCCTGTGGTGCCAAGCTCGGCTATCGACTATCTGCCGTCTTTTTATGGAGTCAGACTAACCATATCCGGCACTGCGTCGACTGGTTCGAGGACTCTGCACAAACACAAGAATGTGGATGTGGTGGAGTCTGTGCTCCCCTCTTTCTCCCCCCCGTTTGTGTTAGTGTAGTTTGTTAAGTTTGGTCTCCCCCAAGTTAAACTACCCGGATTAACTCGTCTTCCGAGATGAGCTGGCTTCCGGTATCGGGAGTGGATAAAAGGAAGAGGGGGAGGGGGAAAAGGGGAAGAGGCAAAAAAATGGTGGCTGGATTTGTCCAATCATCATTTGTCCATAGCTGTTTTGTTTTTTTTGCAGCCTTCTTCTTCTGTCGTATCCTGTTTTTTGCTGCGTGGAGGTGGATGCCCTGGTGTCGTCGCCCAACTTTACCATTTAACCCATTTAACCGTGGTGGACACACTCTCTTGGACCTCCTTCCTTTCCCACTCATTGTCTACAGTAGCGGTGGGTATGTGTTCCTACAGCTGATGATGTTTCAAGCTGTGGATTATTTTATTTGATTCTCATTTGTGCTTTAATTTCTATGTATAGCAACAAATCTCGATCTGTTTTGCTTTACGCGTCTGATTATGCAGCTTCTTCTGAACCTTGTATCTTGCTTCTCCATATAAATGATGCCAAGTTCAATCTCAGATGCAACGTCGGTCATCAGACTCATGAATTAAGTCCGAACGGTGATGTGCGCCGCACATGAGACGAAAGTCAACCTTAGAATTTAGAGGATAATCTTTTTGACGATCTGCCGTGTGGGCACCGCCAAGATCGGAGCCCCGTGCAGATGACAGATGCCCTGTTTCTGTTTTGTACTGTCCGTCTGGTGAGATTGTGCTGTCCCCACCCACTAATCTTTTAACTAGTGGTTGTAAAACTAGTGACTATGGAGTACCCTGTACTCGGTAGCTACGGGGTATACACGGAATACAGTACAACAAAGCAAAAAAAAAAAAAGCTATCACATAATCCTCGATGCAATGTGAAATCCTTTTCCTTAAGACAGGGAAAAGGGTAAAACTTTATTTCCATGACTCCATGCACAATAGACCACTTGATAAATTGTGTATCGGCTTGCAGATGAGGCATATTGTGCTTATATAGCTGCATCCTTTGGATACCGGGCTCTCCGTTACTCCGGGGTCATATGTACATCATGATACCTCCGTACGGAGTACACTACTATAAACGACTAGATGATTTGGTGGGTCACTGATTTGGCCCGACGCGGCACTTAAGATTACTACTGTATTGAGCTCATAGGGCTATGACGATGCTGAAAATGATCAACATCATGACGTGAAGAAGATCGTGGACACGATAATGATAGTCAAGGTGTTCATGGTCAGTTCCCTCGAAAGCAAGATGCATTCGACTCAGAGTAGATTCATCCTGAGTCTTGTATTTGTCTTCTGCACGAGTCCCCATCCGGGGTGACCCGCACTCTCCAGATGTATCTGGTAAGTATAAGTAATATTTCTCCGATATTTCAGCGTAAGAGAGGGGTGTGCTCGAAGGCATATGAAGCTGACCGCCGTTTGGAGCTAGGGGAGTCATTTTTTTTTTCAGCGGGTTTCTCGGAAACTCAAGACTTTTCTGTGAGATTGAAAGCCGGGATCCCGTCGTGCTGGGCAGTCTTACCTCTTTGGGGTGGGGGATAGGGTGTGTGTGCTTGATTTCGAGACGCGTCATAAAATGGGTGAGCCGTGTTACGGTCTGGCGCTGTTCCTTTCTGGGGTAAGTGCGAAGAAAAGCGGTCAACACGTCTTTTGTGTGAGTGTGAGGGAGAGAGTTGGGTTTAGAAATTATTGTTTTATTCATTTTTTGACGGAGTACTCTTGATTTGATTTGATTTGATTTTGACATGGTAATAGAATTAGCTGACGATGCTCCACATCTCCCGTGTTTAGCATGGACCTCTCGACCTACAGACTGTAGTACTTTGGTTTTTTCGCTCTGTTCATTTGAAATGTTCTATGATGGAAAGTGGAGTGGCGTGAAGGCCAAAAAGGCCCAGAAAACAAGTAAAATAAAATAAAATAACCTGAGACATCAACTATGCTTTGTGGATTGACGTCCGATCTTCCCCTTTACCCTGTCTATCCGGCTCTCTCCGTGTAACCCATGGGTATGGATGGCCCCTCTTAACGGTCGCATCTCAGACCAGCTTAGCCAGCTTGCATATTTAAGTTTATACTGTACATGGGAGGAGAATACAGTATGCATCGATGTCATTGTTTGAGATATACCAGGCTTCGTAAGTACGTACTATGTGTATCCATACAATATAGGGTACGAGATGTGAAACGGGGCAGAGGTCAAGACTATTTGCCTGCTCCGCCCGAAAGAAATGAAAAATGCAGCGCAATCCATAACCTAATTTGCCTCCTTCCATATTCTACCACGAACACTGAGAAAACAAGTAACCCCCTGATGCAATCCATCTAGTAAAGTCCTGCCGGTGAATCTCGGGTGGGCCAGACACGGGATGGCTGAAAGGGTGGTGCTTGTTTTTCTCAGTTCGCGCATTGACGAAAGCCACGAAGAGAACGGGTCAGTATGGGGGCACAACAATCCCCAAGTATCGGTACCTGATGTGCCCAAGCGCGGTGCGGCGCTCCAACCCGACTTATCAGTCTAGATTCATCAATCGGCTCCATTGGCGGGACTCGGCCAGACCCTAATGGCTTTTTTTGTGGTCTCTGTTTCTCTTTTCTCATTTCTTATTCAATTTTTGGTTTTCATAACGGGAAAGAGGAGATCGAATTCCCGTAATGGGCAAAACTAGTACTTGAATGGAGAACTACTCCGAGTGGGAACAGTTGAATGGGAAATGAGATATTGTATACACAGCCCCCTCTCCAAAACTACTATAGAGATGATCCTAATATTAAAATCTGGTTCAAGATTGTTCGGGAACAAAATAAGAGTTCCTGAGAGATTAACCTTGGAAATCGAGCTACATGTTTGGTTCGAGTGCATTGGAGTAACCCGACCATATATCAATAGTTTACTCCAACTCAATGCTGGCTTGCTACTAGTATGGGCGGTAGTATATGTTTGGCGTACGATGGAGAGACCCACGGTTGTGATCGAGGAACAACTGTTCGACCCATGGGTAAATCTTAGACTTTCCGCATTCGGCTATTCCCTGGTTACTGTGTTCCAGTTTGTGAACTTGAACTTTTTTGGAGATTGGGTTTTTATCCTTTCTTGTTTGCTTTTCTGGAAACCAAGGCGACCGTGGAAAGCCCGTGGCGTTGTGTTGGGCGAACGCGGATGCGGAGAGGCCAATGGTGATTCGGCAACATAACCAAAGAGAAAACTCACAAACCTCCAGATGATTTGAGTTGAGGTCCATGGTTCCGGCATCAGGGCGATTTCCGATAGCTCTCCACTCCGTGGCGGTGGCTGCTCCTGTGATCATCTACGGGGCTTGAAGATGGCGGAATTGGTTGGTTCTCGAGTTTCTCGAGTTATACGTACGGAGTACGGGATATGTTCCCGCATGGACTGGTTGGATAGCCCGTCCAAATCCACATTTGTCTAAGAGAACTATTACCGCAGTTTGGGCGTTCATTTCATTTCAATTTCCAAAATTTTCTTTCCCTTTTCTGCTTTTGTGAAGAACCACGCGATTAGAAAGGGTATGGTTTAAAGTTAATTTCGGGGAAAGGGAGGTTCTTTAGCCTTCCTCGGCTCCTTCATATTACCTCAGATCCTTGTGATCACGAAGCTTGAAGAGAGGGGAAGGGGGAGGAGGATTTGGATGTCTTCGGACCTTCATCTCTTTCGGGTAGTAATAGTGTAGAATAGGTAATAGATAATATTCCGTCGCCACGGGGTGCTTTAGTTCTCCACCATAAGTGGATTTTTAGAGTATACAATAGTTTCTACATTCGTCAGGGAGAAAGATTTTGTTGTACGGCACTCGATCCTTCAAGGGTATGTGTGATGTATCGGATTCAAAGCCCAAAAGTCACATCTGCCGCGCTATTGCAGGAGCCGCGCCGCTAATGTCTCCATGGCGGGATGTGCTGGTCCGTCCTCTGACGTCGGTGTTCAGCTGGCCCCCTCTCCCCTCTCTTATTCCGAGCCTGTGAGGCGGGAGAGAGAGGAGACACGGTGGCCATGGCTTGCAGCTCTGAGGCAAAGGAGACCTATGTGGTGAAATACGAGATTTCGGATTGATTCGCTGTCGCCGGACTTGTTTCCTCTTCCCCCGTCGCACGGGGATTTATCTGATCCCCCTCGGACTTCTGCTGTCCACACCCCCTCTATGAAGGTTACTGAGAGGCCCTGGAAAGAGAGTGATACAGCTCGCATGGCCCCTCCCTCTCTTTCTCTCTGGCCAAATGGTAGGTTCAAATTGTAGGAGAAAAACCCGGCATTCCGTCATCACATCCGACAAAAGTCCTTTTTTAGCTTCTACACCGTGTACAACCCTTGCCCCTCTCCATGGTAATATCAGCCATGGTGCAACGAAGTACATGATTGTATATTATAGATGCAGATGGGGATCTACCCCCTCTGTTACTCTCCAAGGTGGGCCAGAGTAAACCCGACCTTTCTGATGTGGAGCTCGGTCGGCGCATCGTACATCCCTCCACACAATGATGGGTCGTGATGAGGTAAGGCTAGAATATCTCTTCCTTTTCACCACTGCAGGGAAATACATTTAAAGCAGTGTTTGACGGAGAGAAAAAAAAAGAGTGTGGGTTTACTGTATCCATTAGTCGTCGTCATGCGCATTTTTGAAAGAGAAATAGCCCAATAGAAAAAGAATTCCTGAACACCCTTTCCCGTAACTGTAACCCGTCAAAGACGTGAGACGTGCAAAGAGAATGAGGAAGCGGATCAGAATGCAGGCGTCAATAATGTACAAGCTATTGATTCGATAATTCGGCAAAGAAGATAGCGTGTAGCAAAGAAATAATGTGGTTGAATATTACCTTTTTTTTTTTTTCCTTTTTTCTTTTTTTTTTACTGAAATTATTTTATTTTATTTTATTCAATCTCAGCATTGATGAAGTAAGGTCTTCCCCACGCTAAACCAACCCTGGGCCGTGTCAAAGTCCCCCCCCCCTAGTGATTCTTTCTCCCACATACTCCGTCTAGTATGGCTGGGAGGGGGGTGGGAGAGGGCATCGTCATAGTTTCCTTTTTTACTCTGATTTGAATGTTTTTAAATGTTATTTCTTCTCTTTTGGGCTTCCCATTTCCCCCCCCCCCCCACCTCCAGTAACAATTCTTTGCCTCCTAAGAGGGTCCCCTCTGAACCAATCATGCTGGGCCCAAAGTTGTCCCCGTGGGCCCCTCCCACATTTGGGTTTGGGCGAGAGCCATGGCCCAATAGTCAACCCTAACCCGAGAAGGGGTTCAACCTTCAATGCATCGTGCGCTCCTACCTTTAGGCTTTGGGACTGGTAAAGTCAGTGTGATTTTTGATTTTGATTCTATTTATCACTTTGGATTTATTCAGGACCGTGAGTAAAGATCCCGAAAAATCAAAAAAAAGAAAGTATCACAGTATAATAGTATGTAGCCGTGTATAGGATAAGATTCATGACTCCAAATCAATTGACCTGGACACGCTGTTTCAAGTGAGAGACTCACCAGAGACCAAGAGCCCCGGAACGGGTATACCCTTTGACGTATGGCTGGGATCTGCCCTCTTCGTCTTTCCCCGCTACCTTGAAACACCACAGTCAGGGCGAACCTTGGTCGCTGCATCGTGAGTTTATTTCTTGGCGTCCCCTTTATTTTCCCTGGGTTAATTAGGAAAAAATTGAATAAAAAATCCCAAACCTCTCTATCTATTGATTTCCTCAATTTCTTGAATTTTCCATTTTTCCACATTTTTCTTTCTTTTTTTCTTAGTGCTTAATCTTGCCTAGCGCCTTCTCAGACACGGCACAGGTGGACCATTCAGCGGCTCCAGGGCTGTTAGTCTGTGCGGGACATTCCCCTACGCCGTGCGCTCCATCGGAAACACTGCCTCCCTCCACTTGCTGCTTTGCTCTCCCCTTTTTGCCTTTCCGTTGTTCGAGGTTGTTGGTATTCGAGCTCTGAGATCACTGCTTTTTGGGTCCCATGATTTTTGTGGTCTCCCCTTTTTGATTCTCTGGTATAGTCGTTTCTTTAATTTTAAATTCCTATGGTTCAAGTTGTTAATTTCTCATCTCCTATAATTTAATTTTATTCTAAATTATTTTAAATTTATTTCAAATGCAAGTTTTCTCGAACAATCGTGGTTCCCAGGTACGCTGTCCGATCCCGGAGTCGCGCTTTTTGCCTCTCGGTTTGTCCATACGGCACATTCTTGCGGCGCGTTTAATGGGGGGAGATTCTCTAGATCTTCCATTCCTCAGCCTAATCAGTCGACCAGTCTTAACCCTCTTTCTTTTAAGGTAGTACTAGAGTCTAGGATCTATACTAAAATTCCGAACATTGGCACTTCCTGTATGTCATGCTATAGAGCAAATCTCCCCAATGTACTGCCGGCATTAGCTACATCATCTACTCCGTACATCACCGTCATCACTTACACCTACACACCTCTTAAAACCCTCTTAAATTTCTTAGAGAGAGGGTCCGAGGAACTGGTTCCCGTTGTTAGTCCACTTCGCGCACTAAAGCAATGCGTCCAATCCTGCAAGATAAAATAAGGGAAGAAAATAATATTAAAAAGAAATAAAAATTCAAAAAAGCCATTTATTTGAGATTATGGAGATGATGGAACCCGAAATTCAAATCCTCAAAAAATAAATAAAAAATGGATAAATAAAAATAATGATTTTAAAATTAAAATAAATAAAATCACTGGTATTATTTCCCAAACGATCTGCAACCGTCCCCGAGGGACGAGGGACGTCAGTGGCTCTGGAGTGTATCGTGCCTCACATCTTATACTTATTGTTTGTCCCTTCTTAAGCTTCGCCGATCCCCTTCCCCAGACTGTTTCTATCTCTTCCCTCTTCGTCCTCGGGCTTTTTAAATTTTTTTTTATTAAAAAAAAAGTTCCCAAAATTAATCTGATCTTCGTGTTCATCTCTTCTTCAACTCTGCATTCTCCCCCGGATCAACACCACTCGATCTACACATCTTCAAGCCTCAACCCTGCTACCCCTCGCCATATTCCTTGGGGCCCTTTCGACAAGACGAATAAAACATCTTGATCCTTTCGCATATACCCTATATCCCTTTCGCGACTCTTCGCGATCCTATCCTCCATGACGATGGTTATTGAAAACCAGAACCGCCCGTATGGCGGCATGAGCTTCGACAATGTCTACCACCACACTCCACCACAATTCACAGACCCTTGGGCTGCTGCACACACATCCTCCCACTCGACTCCCCCTGTATACGCGACTGCCATGGGTAATGGTGCTGCTCTACCAATTAGCTCCGTGAAGGAGGAAGTTGGTCGAACCGCACCCATGTCCATGCCATACCCAAGCATCCCTGTATCCGCGCCCTCAATGGTGCCAGCCAGCAACTACACACCCTCCGGCTACGGCCCAGAGGTCATGGCTATGCAACATGAGGTGCCTCGCACTACTTTCGAGCAGCCTTCATCCTACACAACCGCTCCCCCCATGAGCAGCTTCGCTCCTACCAGCTCCTACCCCGTCAGCTACGCTCCAATTCACCCTGCTCAATCCCAAGATGCTCGTCGCATGTCTCACACGTAAGTTTGAATCCATTGCGAAAGAACCCTGCAAAAAACACAGAAATTCTAACGCGTGAAATTTACAGAGATGCTCGCGTGGGCTCTACTCAACCCCAAGCAGCTGCTCCCACATTTGGTGACGCGCTGGATGCCAGTCGAGGAATGGTGGCGCTCAGCCAGGATCTTACCCCCCGTAACATTTATGGCCCTCGCGGTGGGCGCGGCTCGACAGATTCCTATGGTTTCCCCTCAACTCATTCCTCCGCCTCCTCAATTTCCTCGGGTGGAAACTACCCCTACTACAGTGCCTCAGTAGGCTCTGTGGATTCTTCCGTGACTGATTACAGCTCAACAACCTCTGAATCCTATGAATCGCGCACACTCCCAAGGCCCACAAGCCTTCTAGCTGGAAGCGCGCCTCCTGGTCCTCAGTCCATGATGAGCCAGTTCAGCTCCAAGATGCCTTCAAACACCCAAAAGAAGCACAAGTGCAAGGTCTGCGACAAGCGCTTCACCCGTCCCTCTTCATTGCAGACACATATGTACAGTCACACTGGCGAAAAACGTAAGTCAAATCAGAACTACGCAAAAAGTCGACTTCACAGCGCGAAAACAGGCGAAAAAAAAGGGACCATTCAGCTAACAAGGAATTCAGCATTTGCCTGTGATGTTGCAGGATGTGGGCGCCACTTCTCAGTGGTCTCAAACTTGCGCCGACACAAGAAGGTCCACAAGGGCGAGAAAGACACCGGCTCCGCCGACGAAGACGAGTAAATTATTCCAACTCGAATATCACGCCACGAATTTCTCTTCTCCTCAAATGGACCATGAAACCATTTGAGCACTCTCTCCCATCCGCCCGGCGTATATCATTTCGCGCCAGTGATCCATCCCAAATCCATCGCCACAGAACTGTCCTATGTCCTGGCCGAGTTGTCTATGATCATTTATTAGATCTGGATTAATTTGCTCGTGCCTACTTTGTACAACAATTTGGGATAACCCCCTTTACCTATTTCTTATATCACGCTACATTTCTGGATTCATCTCCCGATTAGGGCGTTGGGGTTCTAATATATGTATAGCCTGTGGACGATCTGATTCGGGTTCAGGATACACTAAAAGGGCACGGGGGACAGCCTTTTTTGACGCTTTTCTTATCTTACTGCACGTCATGACCATAGAGGTACCGGCTGGTTTGCGTTCCTGGTTGTTTCTTTTCTATTCTTTCGCTAGACCTGGGAGTCACGTTTTTTTTTTCTGATACCAAGGGTTTGTGAAGGTTCAATGCGTTTTTTCTTTTCTTTTTCACATTGGGCAGTTTATTTTTTGCGCCCTTTCCCTGCACAGCAGGCTTTCTTAATCTTCTATTCTCTACCTTGCATCTATTTCATTTGCATGTGTTAGATCTGTTATCGTGGACTTGGATCCAATTCTTTTTCTTTTCTTCTTTTTTCTTTTACCCTCTTTCCGGTTGGCTTTTGTCTTCTTTGTTAGGGCCGCCCTCTGTTTCCACCGGGTCTTTGCTTTTCGATCTTGGGCTGGTGTTGGATCTGATACCCGTGGCATTGGTGCGAAATTGTTTTCACCCTTTTATATTTTCTTGTCTCTCCTTTGTTCTTATTCGGTGAATCCTGTGGGCTGGAGCGCGATTTTGGGCCCCGGGTGTACTTCATTGCAGTCGCTCTAGTAAAGATATTGTCTAATCAACAATCAAGCGCTCAAATCAAACTTTTCAAAATACTTTTATCTTTGTGTGTAAACTGTCTATTGTATCTTCGTCTCACTATAGTGGTTCGTGTTGTACTCTCGTCCTTTGGTGTTGCTTGGCTTGTTCCTTACTACGGTTTAAGTTGTAAGGTACAGGCCGAACAACCTTGATAGGTGGAAAGAGTTGTGCAGCATCAGCTTAGTTTCAAATATAACATCTATATCGCTTGGCGTTTTACAGTCTCAATTGACTCGTCATATCATGTATTTTCGTTTCATCTTCAATTTTGACTTGACAATCGGATAAATATTAATAGGAGTTGTATGTATACGGAAGTTGATAGGCACCCGCTAACTGGTGAACTTCGTGATGATGCCTTGTGGCCTGATCCCCCAAGGTAACTAGTACGCTCGTAAGCTGGATAGTGATCTACACCCATGAATAGTGGAGATGAACTATAGATATGGACTAAAGGAATGGCCATTCCGTTATGCCAATGGACACATCTGAAGATTTAAAAGCATACACAAGAAGGGGATAAAATTATGATACTAAATCCATAGTCTAAATAGTCCGTTTCGAAACCCTGTCACCAGGGCAAAGAATGCAGCAAAAGAGAAAGCCGGACCAATAAGTCAGCTCAGAACGCCGTAATTTGTGATGAGTGTTCGCAATGAGAGAAAGTGATTTGGTGGAAATGAGGGAATAAACAAGTATCAATCGATACCGAGCTGCACAGCACCAGGCATACACCAGCTCCAGCAGTAATGGTGTGGAGATTTAACGAATACGGTCCAATTTGGCCCTGTTCGCAGCAAGTTGGTCGTCGACGAAGTCGCTCTGATGTAAAAAGTTAGTATCGGACATTAGAGATAATTCGTGGGATGGTCATAGTAAAACTCACCTTGCCTGTGATACGCTCCAAGTGTCGGTTCTGCTCATCAAGCTCCTTACCAGTGGCCTTAGCCAGACCATTAAGCCGACCGGCGGCACCGCTAAGAAGGTCCAAGTTTTGCTCAATTTCATCCTCCATAGCCTCGTCTTCACTATCGGCCTCGAACTGGTACTTAGCACGCTCGGTGACGCTGGCCTTCTTTGGCTTCCCTTGCTTGCCAGCCTCACGATCAATATCACGGAACATGCGATCCATTCGCGTATTCGTCTGGAAAGCTTCTGCTCGAGTACCCTCACGAGCATCACGCTCCGCACGATGCGTATTGAGGACCTTCTCATCACGATCACGACGACGCGACGCACTAGTAAATGGGTTCGACACATGAACTGCAAACATGCTCTTGTTCAGCGTTTTTAGCTCTCGAGCCTTCTCCTCAGCCAAACGACCTTCAACAGTCGCCATGTCCAAGCTCTGCTCGGCTCCATGAACAAGTTCACCCTGAGCACCGAGACGAGCCAATGTAGTTCGACCCGTCTCCTCAGCCTGCGCCGCAACACGGAGAGCATTCCGCGTGGACGAAACATCTCCCTGCTTAACGTGGCGCATTTCTTGCTTAGTCGTCTGCACTGCTTCCTCCTCCTCTTCCTCCGCTGTCAACTGTCGGTCTTCGAACTTCGCCATGCTGTATTCGTTGCTTCCGCCACCGTAAGAGTTTCCGCCACCGTAGCCAGGCTGTCCGACCTGTTGTCCACTTTGTCCACTCTGCCCGCTGCCAGGACTATAAGGGGGTGGAGCTCCTCCGCCGGCATTCGATTGCGCCCGACTGCCAAATAGCTCGTTGCGTGCGTTGTCGCCAGCGGCGGGGTCATTGGGGTCTGAACCACCTAGTCCACCGTAGCCGCCGGCTCCATATCGGGATCCGCTTCCGGAGCCAGAGCCAGAGCCGGTGTTGGGGCTGCCAAATCGATTGCTGCCGTATCCGCCTTGGTTACCGTAGGCATTGGGCGTGTAGCCGGAATACTTGTTATCGGATGGGATGGTGTGGGGGGAGTTGCCTGACGGCTGGTCTGGCATTGGGGCCACACCGGCATTTATCTTGGCCTTGGTGTAAGGGTCTTGGGGAATGGGCTGCGCATATGGGTTCGAGTTCTGGGCTGGGCTCTTGTTCTTATTGCGGGAGCCGAAGAGGGCACGACGGTTGTCGTCGCCGTCGCCGTCTTTATCGGATTTCTTGAAGAGGCCCATTGCGATGGCGGGGGATGTGATTTCTTGGCGAGATGAAAGAAAGTTGTTTTGAATGTCAAGGTAATTATTCAAGGCTTCTGAAAGGTGAGAAGGTAAAGTCAGAGGACAGAATAAGAGATTAAAGGAGAAATAGGAGTTTGAGAATGAAACAGAGAATCACAAAAGTTAAGAGCCCAGTGTGTCAGGGGAGCTTGAAGGCCAGACCAACTTGTAACTTTTAGGTATGGTATTTACCACAGTACACGCAAGCTAATAGCTGAGGTGGTGGTGGCGATCTAGGGTCTGGGACAATACCAATACAGGCGATCAATCTTAGTCACCGCTACTAAACCCGAAGCGGCAACATAGCCATCCCCGCGTTATTTTTGGGTGTGTTTGATCCGGTTGCCTGTTAACCACAGCCTCCTTTTCTTTTTTTCTCTTTCCAGCGATGGCACCACTGGGAGATGCCGACTATTGCGGAGACAAGGCCCGCAGGGATCTGCTAGCCCTGCTGGAGGGCGTGAGTATCACCTTCTCTACGCCCTTCTGCCTGTTCTAATGGCGTGTAGGCTCGGGGCAAGAAGAACCTCGTCGTCAGTCAGGAGCTGGCTGGTCCAGTGAGCCTGTTCATTAAGTTCTCCGTCCTACAGGAATATGGCGTAGATCGAGTGTTTCTGCTGGAAAATGCAAACATAGATTCGTCGCAGCGAAATGTCGTATTTCTCGTTCGGGGCGAGAAGGCACAGCATATGCGCACTGTGGCGCGTAAGTTATGACGATTTTTCCATGTTGAGCTTCATGTTTTCCTCTTTTGGTTCTGTTTTCCTGTTACCTCAATCAATGTACTATTTTGGGACATCATCAGACTTACGCAGATTAAACCTACTCTGCGTGGTCTTTCTTTTAGAAACTCCCGAGATTACAAACAGAGCTCATTCATTTGGCTTTCATTCCAAAGAGTTGTCGATCGGGAGTCATCAGATTGGGCTAACATTTCTTTAGAACAGATCAAACGCTTACAGAATAATGGGAATGTAGAACATGAGTTCTCTATCTTTTTGACTCCAAGGCGAACTCTCGTGAGTAACGCGGTCTTGGAAGAGGCTGGTATCATTGGTGATGTCAATATCGCCGAGTTTCCATTGCATTTCTTGCCTCTCGAGCAAGATATTTTATCTCTTGAGCTAGATGACGCCTTTGGTGATCTGTACCTGGTAAGTGGATTTCTATCGAACACATAATTCGATCAAAACTGACAATGATTATAGCACAAAGATCCTGGCTGCATATTCCAATCTGCCAAAGCTTTGATGGGACTTCAACAGCGACATGGCTATTTTCCTCGAATTGTCGGTAAAGGTGACAATGCGCGCCGCCTAGCTGATCTGCTACTGCGTATGCGGAAAGAAATTGATGCGGAGGAGAGTTCCGGGTTGGCAGACCCTTCGGCGCGAGGGCTACTCCCCAGCGCTGATACCGAGAGTCTCATTATTATCGATCGTGATGTCGACTTTGGTACTCCGCTCTTGACGCAGCTCACATATGAGGGTTTGATTGACGAATATGTGGGCATCAAGAACAACCAAGCTGAGATTGATACCAGCATTGTTGGACAGCCATCTGGGCCACAGACCCAAGAGTCATCTAAGTCGCCACAGCAGGCCAAACAAGGGCTGAAGAGGAAGATTCAGCTTGATGCCTCTGATCAGCTGTTCAATCAGTTGCGAGATGCAAACTTTGCTATTGTCGGCGACATTCTGAACAAGGTGGCTCGTCGTTTGGAGACTGAATACGAAACCCGCCACAGTGCGAAGACAACCACCGAGCTCCGAGATTTCGTCAACAAATTGCCCGCCTACCAGTTGGAGCACCAGTCTCTGCGGACTCATACCAATCTCGCTGAAGAAATCATGCGTCTCACTCGGTCCGAGACCTTCCGAAAGATCTTAGACGTGCAACAGAGCAATGCCGCTGGCGTCGACCCCATAAATCAACATGAAACTATCGAAGAGCTCATCGCCCGCGATGCTCCTCTGAAGAATGTGCTCCGACTGCTGTGTCTAGAATCATGCATGGCCGGTGGCCTTCGTCCCAAGGACTTGGAAAACTTCAAACGTCAAGTGATTCAAGCTTACGGCCACCAACACATCCTTACCTTCTGGGCTCTGGAGAAAATGGAACTTCTTCAACCTCGATCGTCTGCAACGACCATGCTTCTACCTACAAGTGGACATACCGGGACAAAAACCAACTACGGGTATTTACGAAAGAGCCTGCGTCTGGTTATCGAGGAAGTCAGTGAGAAGGAACCTGAAGATATCTCATACGTTTACAGTGGATTTGCCCCACTCAGCGTGCGACTAGTCCAATGTGTCTTGCAAAAGTCATACATCACATCCCTCATCAAAGGCGGTACTCCCGCCGCATCGGCAAATACTGCTAGCACGGGGTCTCCTGGGTGGCTCGGCTTTGAGGACGTTGTCAAGAGTGCCCGCGGATCCACATTCAGCATCGTCCAAAAGGGCGATGATAAGGCTGTGCGCGCCCGTCAAACTTTGAGCGGCAATAATGCCACCAAGACTGTTTACGTTTACTTCTTGGGTGGTATCACATTCACAGAGATTGCTGCGTTACGGTTCGTCGCGGCCCAGGAAGCACCACGCCGTAAGATTATTATTTGTACAACTGGCATTGTTAGTGGTGATCGTATGATGGACGCTGCCATTGAGAAGAAAAGCTTCGCAAACGCGGAGTAGCATCCATTCCAAGGTTCCTTCCTACCTTCAGTCTCGATATCATAGATCTAGCGTTCTCTTCCCTGAATAGTTTTCATTCCAATGATACCATTGCCCATTTTCAAGATGAAAGTTAAGTGACATCTACTTCTCCAAACTAGAACGCTGCCACTGGGCTGAAACTGGGAATATTTCTTTATAATGAGTACGACCTTTTTTTCAAATGCCAGCATCATGGTTAGCGCCTATCAATATCGTCATCTTCATGGTGATTTTCTTAGGCTTCCACTTTCCAACCAGACATTCAGTGACAATAAAATCGGTACCTAATGCCAAGCTCAGATGCAGGTAACAGGCAGCTAACTCGCCCGAGCATTTAAAGCAAGCTGCTGTCCACCAAAAGTGGGGCAATGAGGCTGACGCCCCAAACCTCACAGCCTCCCTGATCCATACCATATCTTCTTTGCTTTTCGGACAAGGTTAGTGAAACGCTTGTTTCTCGGTTTGGCATTCTCCTATCATGTATCTACTCGACTTTCCGACCGAAATTCTGGATGCCATCGGACAACACCTCGAGTCACAAGCAGACATCAATGCCTTGCTTCAAAGTAATCGACGTCTTTACTCAATTTTGAATGCATATCTTTACTCTGTGAACGCGAAATTTTTCACAGGCTCAGCATTACTATGGGCAGTCCAGAATAATCAGCCACAGACTGCACACTACGCCTTGCGCAATGGCGTGGAGGAGCTCCTCGACTGGGACCGAGAGCCACTGCACCAGGCTGTTGAAGATGAAAACGAAGCTATGGTATTGCTGCTACTCAAGTATGGAGCTGGCGTCGATTGTAAGAGACTCGACAAGACCCCGCTGTGTATAGCGGCGAAATCAGGCCATGAAGGAATTGGAAAGCTCCTATTGCAGAACGGGGCTTATCTTGAGTCGAACAATTCCATCAGCAGTTTTTCTCGATACAACACCCCACTTCATGTCGCAGCGTATTTTGGTCAAGCTGCGATAGTCAAGTTACTTCTTGAGAATGGAGCAAATATCGAAGCAGAGGATTCCGACGGAAACACCCCTTTGTTTCACGCTTTATATAAAGGGCAGAGTGCCACGTTGTGGCTTTTGATGGATCACAATGCAAAATTCCAGGGAGACGCCGATTCCGGAAGAGCACTGGCCGAGGCAGTTCGTCTAGAAAATGCTGAAATATTCGAAGGTCTGCTTGAAAGGGGCGCCGATCCAAACGCGTATGATGGATCAGGGTTCCCTCCGTTATACAACCCGGCCATGAATGAGCGCCGCCACTTTGTGAAACGTCTCGTCGAAAGCGGTGCAGACATTGAAATAAGAGACAATGCTGGACGTACCGCGCTCAGTATTTGTTGTCTCTACAATCGTGACTTTGCTGTACAGATACTTCTTGATTGTGGAGCAGATCCGAACACGAAAGATTATCAAGGAAATACGCCCTTGCATAAGACTGCTACTCATCAAAGGGATCATATTGCTAGAATTCTGATTGGGAAAGGCGTTGATATGGACGCTGTGAATAACGATGGAGAAACGCCACTCTTTTGTGCTGTGCGAAACGCCTCAGAGCAAATGGTGCGGCTTTTACTCCAGCATGGTTGTGACCGTAACGTATCAAGATCAGATGGAACAACGCCTTTGGAGCTGGCGACTCAGAGAGATAAGACTGACGACATATTGAAGCTTTTCAAGGATGAATAGCCACAAAGGCGGATGAGGAGGGAAGTTAGATCCTATGGCTTCATGTGACTTTATCATTCAGCCTTCCTGTCTCTTTCACTTTTTCAAACTCTTTTTTGTGAGTTCCTTGAAAAGAATGCTAGAATTTCGAATAGATAATTTGAGATAATTGTGGTGTCAGAATAAAATGAAGACATATGATAGATCGTGAAGGAATTCATATATTTTGTTGTAGGCCTCAGTTTCCTAATTCGGATCAACAAGGTTTGCTATAACTCAAATCTAGATCTCTAGTGGCCAAGCAGATGATCGTTCAGTATTGGAACCCAGAATTAATACCCATCAGACGTCCCTGGTACCGCTCCGTAATTTCTCCAACCCGAACCATAATGCCCGCAGCTAAAGTTCGCACTTGATCCTGTGTGTCGACGGGAGCAGTAGAACTTGCAATACCCGACCCAGCAGGTGTATTATCAAAGACTTGAGAAGCCCACTCACGCAATTCGATGACCTTAGATGCGTACTCCGTAACTAATCGTTCTTCGCCATTTGAGCCTGAAGCTATATTCAAGTCTATGGCTGCGAGTAACAACGTCAATAATGCAGCGGTGACCGTGGGGTCCGTCGATATAGGACTTGTATGTAATGATAAAAGGAGGGAGAGCGTTTCATGTGTGAGACCTGGTAAGAAGGGGCTGTGGGGTCCGGAAGTAGAGAGTATGAGGGAGAGAGTCTGAAGGAAGAGAGTGAGAAGGTGGGGGACGGTGAATGGGTTATATGACGAAATCGATGAACTGTTTGAGAAGAAACAAACATGTTAGCTGGCGGTGTAAATTTAGAGAGCTTGAACATATTACATACGAGGAATATTGGAGCATCACGACGGTGAATCGGCTTATGAGAGGGAAGAAAAATTCCTCTGCGAGAACCTTGTAAAGGTCCTTTGTAACGTTCTTCCGCCGCTGGGCGTCGCGTTGTTGACGTTTCTTCTCAACCTCCATCCGAGATGAGAAGGTGCGCACCTTCAGCGCGTTGGGTCCTGTTATTGTATCGGCAGCATTAGCCGCCAGCGGTTGGAGAGATGTTTTTGACATTTCGTTGGTGAGTGTTGCGATGGGGGAATTTCGGTTTTCCTTAGAATCTTGCTGGAACATAGCATCCAAAGCTGGCGAAAGCCGTTTAGATGGGAACGAGGTGTCCTGCAAGGTTGGAAGGTTGAGTGACTTTGCATCTTCTTCCCCATTCCCAGCAACTTCACGGGCACCGAGGCCAAGTGCTGTAAGAACGGCAGAGCGTTGGACTTGAGATAAATCCCCGTCGAAGAAGATGGCTGTGAACCAGCGGCCCATTTTTAGGGGCTGTGAGACAATTAGGGTAATCATGCTTTGGAGCCGACATTCATGGAACTGCGGATGATTATTGTCATTTTGAAGACCAACAATTGTGAGTGCTAGCTCTTCAATTTGTTCTGCGAGCTCAGTCCCAAACCCAATTTTGCGACGGATCAGACTAGGTGCTGTCGTGATTGCGAGGTGATAGCGTTCGACGTTCTCATTGTCTCGAAGATATGTGATTAGATCACGAACGTAACTAGAGTTTGTTAGTTGAATTTAGGATCAAATAGCCATCGTACTTACACAGGTGCGGTTGGTTTATTTCGTTGAACCAAGGTTGGGTCCTCATCGTCATCATCAACATCTTCGTCAGGCTTCTCATATGGAATGAGATCTTCATCCTCTGACTCATCTTCCTCATCATCGCTGACAACCTCCACGATCTTTTGAGGGCGAGATTTCGATTTGGGCTTCTGGGTTTCTCGAGCTTGAGCAGAATTTAGATCGGCGGGGTTCAAAAGATGTTTCAAGGTCTCAAATGACCCAACTTCGTCTTTAGCTCGGACTAGACTCAGGTACCACTGAGCTTCTGCACTCTTCATCTCTTCAAGGTCAAATTTCAACGAGTTGCCGGGCTCTTCCATAAGCTCTGAGATACCCGTTCCCACAATCATGCCCATAATTCGCGCTCTATTCGAAGAAGAAGCAAGCCGATTAGAGATGGAAGACAAGAAGGCCCCAGAGTGGCCGACCTCCTTAATCTGAGACGGGTCAAGTCGGTGCAAACGGGCTGCCACCAAGAGAATGACCTGAGCATTGGCTATTTGATTTTTTAGTATTATTTTGTATGCAAGTGCAGATATAAGTGATAACGAACCATCATGTTCACGATCACTGTTGTGATTTATAGCAAATTTATCTGCAAAGTTCTCGAGACTGCGAATTAATAAAGACTTGAGAGCATCTACCAAAAGTCAGTATATATGAATATAAGGAATGATACAATGAACCGACCGTCTTTATTGTTGTAAGTTGCTATCAGAGCTCGATCGATGGTGGTTGGGAAGGTCGTTGCGAAGCGACCTTTGGTAAGCCAATTTGTGATTTCGTCTTTGAAATGTGACCGATCGCCAATAATAATCGACAACACGGCTGCAGTTGCAGACACAATCTCTGGATGCGTCTCTGGGTCACTGAGGAAGTCACATTGGCGGATGGATGGATATCTGACAGGCAAGTCCAGAATGATAAGTTGGAGGATATTCACTTGGGCTGACAACCTGAGATTGTCAAGAAGCAAGGCTAATCTTTGGTGAAAAGTCTGATCATGGAAAATTTTGACATATATTTCGGGAAGAATTGAAGCTAGATTGAAGTTAATTAGGCCAACTGGAATGTGTAGTGTCTAGGAAGCTTACAGGAATAACCCAGACTGAGGGCCCGTTCTGTTAAGGAGGCCACATGAAGCCAACCGCTTTCGCCATTGACATCGAGCTTCGAGATCATGTGAGAGATATTGGTACCAAGCCATTTAGCATATTGACGTCCATCTGCAAGCCAGTGAGTTGGAGACGATGGTACGTCACTAGCCACCGCGAGTGCTTCTGCTGCTGTAGACACAACCTTGCCGGAGGCTATAAGAGACACAACTTCATTCCACGCAACCCGTTGCTTGGCAATTTTGTCGTTCAGGGCTAGTATATCATCATATGTGCGATAAAGGAAATCTGTCGGCTCCAATAAAGTGGCAAATACCGAAAGAATGTCTGAGATAGCGGATTGATTGTTGGACCCTTGGGTTTGCTGAGACGATGCCTGAACAGATGCAATGAGAGATCGAAGTCGGGCCACTAGAGAGCCAATACCTGCAACACTGCTCAAGCAGCGTAGTAAGGCCGCCCTCGTTTTTGTATTTGATGTTGTTTTGCCATCACCCACTAGCGACGCCCAGTGGCTGGGAATGACGCTGCTTACTAAAAGTTGAAGGATTTGGGCTGATACTGGACCAGGGAGTCGAATATCAAGATCCAATGTCCTTGATTTACTGTATGGATCGAGTATAGTTAAAACGGTGGAAACTTCTTCTCGAGAGGGTTGAGATTTCAACACATCTATGATTTGATTCGCAGTCAGGTCTTGGTTAAGCTCTAGGGTGGGAGCTGTCAAGGCATGGCGAGGGCCGTTTGACTCAACCGCTGTCAAGGAATGACCCGAGGCCTGCTTCACGGTCTTAATCGCTGTAAGAAGACCATCCATAGCGGCAGATGGAACTCGTCGAGGCAGTCCTGTAAATAGGTTCATGAATTGTGGTATCGGATATCTTTTGTATGCGGGACTTGTCACGTGCCGTCTCTGCCTCATCAACCGCCGCATTGCATCCATCTCCATTCCCCTCCATCATCACAACTTTGCTCTACACGGTGCCACATTGTGAAATTCGAAAGACCTTTGAAGGTAATCTGATACTTAACACTTTTGAAATCTCCGATCACCCTGAACCGATTCGATTGTCCCAGGATATCAACTAGCTGTCCCTAGCTTCAAGCTAGTCATATCGGCGAAACACAGACGAGCCACAACTTGATAGTAGCTCACAAAGCTTATTTATCACCAAAATGGCTACTTCTGTGGCGGTACCTTTGAATGAGAAAGGGCGATGGTCAGTCTCACATTGCCACATTAGTAATTATCTACTGCCATGACCGATATCTAACAATTTGTACAGGAGCCATCTCTACAAGGTTCTATCCAAACCCGGCCCTTTCAGCGATGAGGATTGGGTACCAGGAGAAGAAACAATTAATGCATTGGAATCTTCTAAAATTCTGTAAGATCATGATACCTGGTTGTTCTATCAACTGCCGCTAATATTGAATACAGAGTGATGTTAGTGTTTATTCTCCGAATACTTTGTCTTCAAGATTGATCCAAGGACTAAAGAAAGAAATTGCAGCGGAGCTGGTGGATTGGGATGTGAAATCTTAAAAAATCTCGCGCTTTCAGGATTTAAAGACATCCATGTCATCGATATGGGTATGCCCTTCTACTCCATCTCGAAGGGATGAATACTGACAGAAGTTCGCAGATACAATCGATATCTCAAATCTTAACCGACAATTCCTGTTCCGCCAAGCTGATATCGGAAAGCCCAAAGCAGAAGTTGCTGCTGCTTTTGTAGAGAAGCGAGTCAAAGGTGTCAAAATCACTCCATACGTGGGCAAGATTCAGGATAAAGATGAGGATTACTACATGCAATTTAAGATAGTAATCTGTGGCCTTGATAGCATTGAAGCCCGCCGCTGGATCAATTCAACGCTAATCGGAATGGTCGACCTCGAAAACCCGGAGAGTCTCAAGCCATTAGTTGACGGTGGTACCGAAGGTAGGCCCCCTCCCCCAAATTGTCTCGAGATCCAGACGTTGATTGTATAAAAAGGATTCAAGGGTCAAGCCCGTGTGATTCTGCCAACTCTGTCGTCATGTATCGAATGTCAACTTGACATGCATGCTCCACGGCCTGCGGTACCCCTTTGTACTATCGCCACAATCCCTCGTCAGCCTCAACATTGCATCGAATGGGCTCACCAGATTGCCTGGCAAGAAAAGCGCAAAGATGATACTTTTGACAGCGATGATATGGAGAATATTTCGTGGGTGTACAATACCGCTCTCGAGCGAGCCCAGCAATTCCATATCCACGGCGTTACTTTCCAGATGACCCAAGGGGTGGTGAAGAATATTATTCCAGCGATTGCATCAACTAATGCTGTAATTGCAGCCTCAACGACTTCTGAGGTGTTGAAAATTGCAACCTCATGCAATCCATACCTCGAGAACTACATGATGTATGCCGGAGAGGAGGGTGTTTACACATATACCTTCGAGGCGGAGAAAAAGGCAGATTGCCCCGTGTGCGGTAATCTTGCTCGCAATATGGATGTGGATCCAAATATGACATTGGGTGATTTCATAGACAGCCTCGGCGAGAAGGCCGAAGCCCAACTGAAGAAGCCAAGCATGCGAACAGAGGAAAAAACACTCTACCAGCGATTCCCTCCACAGCTGGAGGAGCACACACGGCCAAATCTAGTACTCAAGCTTTCTGAGCTTTTAGAGAACGGCCAAGAGATTGCAGTTAGTGATCCGGCATACACTATCGACTTCCGGTTCCGGCTGCACTTCAGATAAACGGTTTGAACTTGTTCTACGACTGGCCTTCAAGGAAGAGGCTTATTTATGATGCTACAATACAACGCATGATTTCAGTCAATTATTAGAATTCAAAGACAGGGACTAGCCTTCTGTGTTCTAACAACAATGGTATCCGGACTCCGGCCTTATAAAGCCAACTTCTAGACCGAACTTTTCGTAAATGTACAGCGCACACAAATTCAAAGCAAAACATGCCAACGCCAGTCAAATGCATTTTATAAACGAGTAATGATTTCATGACACTAAGCCATCAGATCACTCAAACCCCGCTTCCACCGGGCGCATTTAAGCTTCAGAACCTTGACGGACTCAAGGAAGAGGGTATCGCTCTCAAATTGACCAGTGCTCTCCACGTTGAAGATGAAATGATCACGCACACGACCCAGTTTCACCTTACCATTGAACTCCTCATGGCGCAGACACTCGCGGCTAACGGTATCATTGAAAGCATCTTTCACGACTGCCTTCAACTCGCCTGTATGTCCCTGGTAACCACTTTCCTTAGCGGCCTCCTGTGCAGTGATTGGCTCGAGGCCGATGACGCCCTTGGGAAAGCACTTGGCGAATTTCTTTGCGTCCTCACCGATAATGGGACTCAGGATCTTGATATCTGGCAAAAGACGGTAGGAGGCGGTAGCAACAGGAGAGAACTTGGCGTGGTCGGCACCAATACCCTTGACACAGTGAAGTTCCATTTCGATCCTTTGACCGGGGCGCAGCTTGGCGATCAGAATGTCGGGGTGCACGGGGCGAATGGCACCGTCATCGACGAAAAACTCACTTTGGCGACCCACCGGGCCGAAGCTGAGGTGTTTGGCGTAGACGTGGGCATTGTGGTAAAGTTTGCGAGCGTCCGTCTCATTGTTCGCGGCGTCAAAGTTCTGGGTGCACTCTATACTGAGTTGTCCAACAACGGTATTGAAATCGGTAAGCTCAACTTCCGGAGCATCATCTCCGGGAATCTTCTGCTCCCAGCGCATCCAGTTGATTCCTTCCACAGAACCGGTAAGTGGGATGAGACCGAGACGCTGTGCAAGAACCTCGTCTTGAATAACGGAGGTGTTATCATGAACGTAGACGGTCTCGATGGCCAGGGTGGGGATTTCGTTCATCAGAATTCGGCGGAAGGCATTGGCGACAGCAGCATCCAGCCCGATGAGGGAGAATGAGGCTTCGTACCGGTCATTGCGGTGATATTCGACCTTGAAATCCTGCAGTGGGGTATTATGAGCACAGCTCCAATTCCTTCAACTAGAAGGGGGTTATGAGTTCTCAGTAACGTACTTGCTTGAATTGATCAAGGGCCCAACCGTGCGACTCCCCAGGCCAATGTCCGGGAAAATCCGTGGAAGGAATGTTAGTGACAGTCTCTGCGTTGATGCCGATGATCTAGGAATGGTTAGCCTTTTGATTCAACAAGAGCGAAAATCCATTGACGATAGTGCTTACACGGCGACGTTGCAGCTCCTCCTGCGACGGGACAAGAGGCGCCATGGTGGGTAGGGCGGGGTGAAACAGTGAAGGTTGAAGATTGAAATTTAGCAGATCGGCGATAAGAATAATTTCTTGAGGTGATTTTCTGGGCTGGTTGCCTGAGGCATGAATGGAACAGAGCTGTTTGACATATTACGAATTATTACATACAGTCTCCGCTAATTGAGTTACAATACATGTAATTTCCGGTCATCCAACCAGAACTGGGCTGATGACCCTACAGCTCACTCACGTGACTCTGCCAAAACTGGAGCGCGACTTCCATCTTCATTATTGCCAGGTTCCATTACCGCTGCAGCAGAGAGCCTCCACTTGTCCCCCTTGGATGTGCCTGGATTGAGGAGCCTATCCCGTATATTCGCCAATTGGTCTCTCTCCCCTCCCCAGTCTCCTCCATGGCCGCCTCATTCGCTCGCCTGGCGAGCAATGCGCCCAAAAGACTCTGTCTCCGCCCCTCCACTATCCTCAACACATCTGTACCTCGCTCTCGTTCCATAACCACGACCGTTTCTCGTCAACATGCCGAAGCTACCAGCTACCAGGCCACGCGGCTGATTCCGACTGACCCGACCTTCACCTCTCTAGCCAACAAGGGCTCTCCCGAGAACCCCGACGAATCTGCTGCTCCTCTCGAGTCCGAGGCAGAGGGTACAGACCGCAAGATCCGTCACTACACAGTTAACTTCGGTCCTCAGCATCCTGCTGCTCACGGTGTGTTGCGATTGATTTTGGAACTCAATGGCGAGGAAATCGTTCGCGCCGATCCCCATGTCGGTCTGCTGCACCGTGGTACCGAGAAGTTGATCGAGTACAAGACCTACATGCAAGCTTTGCCTTACTTCGACCGATTGGATTACGTATCCATGATGACCAATGAGCAGTGCTTTTCTCTGGGTGTTGAGAAGCTGCTGAACGTCGAGATTCCGGACCGTGCGAAGTGGATTCGGACTCTGTTCGGTGAGATGACTCGTATTCTGAACCATCTCATGTCTGTTCTTTCCCACGCCATGGACGTTGGCGCTTTGACTCCTTTCCTTTGGGGTTTCGAGGAGCGTGAGAAGCTCATGGTGAGTTTCAGGAGGCCCGATTTGACATCATTGAAAATGCCATATAGAAGGATATTCTTGCTAACCGAGGGTCATTATCGATTTTAGGAATTCTACGAACGTGTTTCCGGTGCCCGTCTCCACGCCGCCTATGTTCGCCCCGGTGGTGTGTCGCAGGATCTGCCTCTTGGTCTTCTGGACGACATCTACCAATGGGCTACTCAGTTCGGCGACCGTATTGACGAAACTGAGGAGCTTCTGACCGACAACCGTATCTGGAAGGCTCGTACCCAGGGTGTCGGTGTTGTTAACGCCACTGATGCGCTTAACATGAGTTTCACTGGTGTCATGCTTCGTGGATCTGGTGTTCCATGGGACATCCGTAAGTCCCAGCCTTATGACGCCTATGACCAGGTCGAATTCGACGTGCCTGTTGGTGTCAACGGTGACTGCTACGACCGTTACCTGTGCCGTATGGAGGAGTTCCGCCAGTCTCTTCGCATCATCCACCAGTGCTTGAACAAGATGCCCGCCGGCCCTGTTCGTGTGGAGGACTACAAAATCTCTCCCCCTCCCCGTGCTGCCATGAAGGAGAACATGGAAGCCCTCATTCACCACTTCCTGCTCTTCACTAAGGGTTACTCCGTGCCCCCTGGCGACACCTACTCCGCTATTGAGGCCCCTAAGGGTGAGATGGGTGTGTACCTGGTCAGTGACGGCAGTGAGCGCCCATACCGCTGCAAGATTCGTGCTCCTGGTTTTGCCCACTTGGGTGGTTTTGACCAGGTCTCTCGTGGTCACTTGCTGGCTGATGCTGTCGCCATTATCGGTAAGTTTACACAGAATCATACAGATCACTTCACAGCGAACATTGCTAACCTCTATCTTTCTTCTAGGTACCATGGATCTGGTGTTCGGCGAGGTTGACCGGTAAAGTCGCCTTTGCAATGCAATAATAAAAAAGTCCAAAACGCAAAAAAAAACGAGGAAGAAGACTGCGAAATGACCCCCTTAAACTAGACGGCATTCTGCCAATGCGGGGGGTTCAAAACCATGCAAGATTGCGCACCAGCATCCTTTATATGATGACTTTTTGGACCCCTCCAATCTAACCTAGGTGTACCAATTTTTCCCCATGTTTTCTTCTCATGGCGTTGTTCTATTATGTCCTGCCTTTCTCTTTTGTCTCCTTTCTACTCGCCTCTAACTCTCATAAGCCCTGTGTATAGTGAATCTTATTCTTCTGAGACATTGTCCATACCAGTAATTGCGTAGAGTGTAATTTTCCACATATTACCGAGATATTCCGAAATAAACCTGCAGATATTTTATAACATGCTGTCCAAATTTCATCTGTAGTTGATCAACCAGCCAATCATATTTTACCGGATATTCTACCCAGCGAAATTTTGTGGCCCGTGGTTGGTGGCGTCGCATATTTGCCCGCATAGGGGTCTGGTGGATCCCGCAATGCACCAACTTCAGGTCGACTGACAGTGCCGAATTAGAATCTGATACTGGCCACCTCCTAGGCCTTCTCGGGAGGAAAGCACCTTCAAAAAATAAGCTATTCTTCACATCTTGAAAAGGCCATGGCTTACAGGTGTAGACGCTCCTGAGAATGCCGACTTCACCTCAGAATCGAATATATAGTCGGGCCAACGATCATGCCATTGCTCGAAGAAGACGTGATGGTTGTACAGAGTGCCGCAGAAAGAAAGTCAAAGTGAGTAGTACTACTAGTATTTAACGCTGCTTGGTGGACGTTTAAGCCCCATGGAATTATTGATACACAGTCTGTATATTCAATTACCTAACATTGGATAGTGCGATCTCCAGAGGCCAGTGTGCTTGCGCTGCAAACGCTTTCCTAGACACTGTTCTTACGATTTAAACATCGTATCACAAGCACCCTCAAAATCAAGGCCCTCACAGAAAATTGAACACAAGAAAAGTTCTTCCCCTGTTCAAAATGTTGCAAAGACCCCAAGGCAATTGACTGTGGGTTTTATTCCTTCAATCCAACAACCCACCTTGAACTTATCACCATTGCTATCTTCGGATGAATCCAAATTCTTGATGCACATATTTGCTACACAAACCGCCAAAACTCTCTTTCCAGCCGCCCCAGATCTTGTGTTACAAAGAATGATCAGCTCTTCTTTGGTGACGCCACATCTTCTGCACGCTCTTCTTGCATCCGCATGCAGTCATCATGGCCGTTTAGTCAAAGATTCAAGTCCAAGGCCAATGGTCACTTGTCTAAAATATACGAATATGGCAATTTCCAGTCTACGCAAAGAGCTTTCAAATTCTGAACCAAGGCTAAGCGTTGAAATGGTTACTACAGCAATGGCATTGTGCACAAATGATGTCTGCAATGGGAACATGGAGATTTGGCGAACTCATCTCCGTGGAGTTTTGCGGTTACTGGTTGCCTTTTTGGAAGGCCACGAAATTTCATCTTCTGCAACTGAGCCTTTCATAGAGTTTCTCGTCAAATGGTTCAAAACGATGGATATTATTGCTGCTCTATCTGGGCATAATGGGCAATGCACTCACATATCTGAGGATAACACGTTGAGTAAAGTGTTGTCGTCATCCGGAGCAAATGTGGATAACATTTGTGGCTATTCTTTAAAACTAATTCCTATGATGGCTGAGATATCAAGCTTGGCCCGAAGAGGACAATCCGGATCGATTGAGAATTTTATTCTGAGCAATCCATCAGCATCCGAGATCAATCTAGAGGCAGAAATTCAGGTTCTTATTGAGAAACCCATGCAGGAATCTAGACAAGACGGCGATAGAGCCTTTGGCTTTGAACTTCAGAGTACGCATCGTGCTTTTGTTCACTCCGCCTTGCTACACCTACACCGACGGGTAAATATGCTGCCCAAGCATGACATTCGGGTCAGAGCGGATATTAGCAGTATCCTCGAGGCCGTCACTCAAATTCCACCTTTTTCGTTTGCAAACATTCTTATTCTTTGGCCTATTTTCAGCGCTGGATGCGAGACAGATATTTCTGCGGAACGGGACATTATACAGGAGCGTATGAAAAACATGCAGACTCTAGGAATGGGTAATTTTACAAGAGCTCGAGAGCTATTACTCAGGTTCTGGTCATCTGGGACTTCGTTGCCATGGGACAAGTATTTCTCACAACTGGGGCTGGAGCTTGTGCTCTTTTAGCCATTGGAGAATTGCATCAAAGAGGAGAAGATCAATTCTTAATTGCATCTTAGCTTTGCTTTGACGAATATCTAGCATACAAAACTCAATCTGCCTTATTGGATAACAGGAATTCCATCATACCCGGCATACATAAACTCCCTGAGAGCTTTCAGTCCACCCACCATGACTTGACGCTCAGGAACATATCCAATACGCACGAATCCCTTGAAGTCCTCTCCTTCCCCGAAACATTGACTTCCCGGCACAAACATCACACCGGACTTTTCCTGCAATTTTTGACAGAAAATTATCTCGTCAATTGGTTGTCCGTTCTTCATAAACTTGACGAAAGCAGTGGTTCCGGCCTGTGGCTTAACCCAGGATGCAGTCCACTTGAATTCCTCAATAAAAGCTTGGAGATCTTCGAGATTCTGCTTCGCCAGCTGAACATTCCGACTCAGCAAATTTCCTACACATGGACTAGATAGCGCATGCGTAGCAATGTTGTCATCAATCTGGCCTACCGAGATGAGTGTATAATGCCGAGTGGCCGCACAGGCCTCAATAATCTCGAGGTCCCTGGAAGCAATCCAGCCAAGTCGGATGCCGGCTAAACTGAATGCCTTGGACATTGAACCTGTTGATATCACTTTCTCGTATTGGAAATCCAATATGGAAGGAGGACTTTCGGGACTGCTAGGGTCAAGCGAATGGAAAAGAGGTCGATACACCTCGTCTGAGTGAATAATGATATTATAACTCCGTGCTATATCAACGACCCCTTGGAGAAACTTGCGACCAAGGACGGCACCAGTGGGATTTTGAGGGTTGCTTCAGGTCTTGTTAGTGTCTATCATATATTGGTGGCGATCGGTTTCAATCATACTTAAGAATGATGAGTTTTGTATCGGGTTTGATCAACGACTTGAGCTCTGTCAAGTCTAGCTGCCAACCTGTCTCCGCGGATGTTTTCCATAGACTGACCTCCGCACCCAGGGACTCGGGAACCGAGTATAGCTGTTGGTATGTTGGATAGTGGCAGATGACATGGTCACCAGGTCCAATGTTTGTATATAGCGCAAGGAAATTCGCCTGAATAGCACCATTTGTAACCAAGACGTTATTCTCAGATACATCTTTACACCCATTCATAGAGTAAAGTTTTGCAATGTTTGTTCTGAGGGCGCTCGAGCCGCGTATAGCTCCATAGACCTGTTTCTGAGAATGATTCACAATATCCGTTTGCTGCCCCGACAAGACTTCAAGGTCGTCTAGCGAGATTGATGCGCAGCATGTTTCAGCAAGGTTATGTTTAGCATCGTTCTCATAGAGATCCATCCACTGGTAACTTATTAGCGTCCAACGATTCATAAGATTTAGCATCTCATAGGGGCCATTACTTGTTCGACTGCAAACTCCTTGATTTTCACCATACTGTCTTTCGTCTCTACCCGATGTAGACTTTAAGAACGAAGAAATATGGATTGATAGAAGAAGAAAAAAGAATAGAATAGGAAGACAACGGTTTTTATAACTGATTTCTCCTCTTTCAAGGTTGGCATCCATTTTCCAAGGTTCAATGGAATGAAGCTTATCGTGAATTTGATTGGTTGGATCGCATGTATATCCCATCTTGGATATTGGCTCCACACATGATACATCATGGGTTCCCATGAGCAAGACATAAATAATGGCATTATGCCATTTTTTGGGCTTTCCTTTAAATTAAACTTGGCAAAGTTCTCAGAATCATGACTCTATGTCACTTAGAATTCTTTCAAGTTCTAGTTCAGTCATGGTGGAGCCCTGGCTCAATCCGGGCTTTGGCCGCTAACTTAGATCATTTATAACAATACCTCTTTGACAGCTCCAAAGAAGGGAGAAACTTGGTAATGCATAGAATAAACATATATGCAGGTATATACACCGGATTTTGTCTGCCAGGTGGGGCTTTCCTTTCTCGGCTGCCGCCGCTTTTATGAGGGCGCTCAGGCTCAGGCTCAGTGAGTAGATGTCAGCACAGGCTCAGGCTCAGTGATCGAATCACCCGAGTCATGTGATGCATGACTAAGGCACACTGATCGCTCAGTGACCAATCAGGGCTGCTCAGTGATCACTGAGTATTGCTCAGTGATCATTCGATACCTAATCACCCCTTGATGCTCCACATCCAATCAGCGTTTGTTCCCTCGTATGGCTTTAGCTATTCCAAAATCGGTATGGCCTAATGGGCCATCTATTCTGTGACAACTAGCGTGCTGATGTTTGTAAGCCGAATATTCCCGTTTAAAAATATACAGCTTTTCTGCCCACCGTATCAGAAATGAGGCTGTGTAAATTTCTTTTGTTCGCTTTATCTGTTTACTCTCATGACGTGGCCAAAGCCAGTAATGTCTCTATCATGCCTGACGTCGGGGTTGGAGTCTGTCGGATATAAAAACTGGCTCCGATTCCCCTTCATCGTTTCATGAATTGTACTCTTCACACCAACTTGTCTATGCCAAAAGACCAATCACTTCGAAAAAGTCGATTGCTAGACCCCAAGCCGGACAGATATCTGAATATGGGCCGACAGGCTTTTCCTGCTAGGAGTGATGATGCAGCCAAAAGAAAGGCGTCGTCTCCAACGGCAGAAGAATGGTTATCTTCCTGGTGTTTTCAAAGGACAAGACGAAGTTCGAAACAAAGATAAGAAGCTTCCGGGGACTAGAGAATTACACAAAGAAGCTCTTGATCTTTGGCTTGAGTAGGTCGAAGCTACCAGAACTTGATTGAAGGAAAGGCTGACTTTTGCCTAGCTTTACAGCTGACCCAGAGAACGGATATCAAGATTTCAAGACATTTGAAGGCTGCGCCCCCCCAAGCCATGAAATGGTGAAGGGATTTATGCGCTGGTATGTCGATTCTACCGTTGGCCGACTCGACGTCAATGAAAAACCAACTGTGAGAACGAGTAAAGCGTGCGCAGAGAGGTTCTTCGGCGGATTCAAAGATTTCACCAAAACCGAGGTCCCTGAACAAGATCGAAAAGAAATATATGGTGTAAGTTTCTGTTTGCATTCCAGACATATTTAGTCTGGCACCGTTGACGATAAATTGCAGTGGATTAAAAACACATTGACCAAAGACGGTAAAGTCGTGAACAAAAAAAAACAGAAATACAATTTCAAAAAGGACGACTTTCTGAGGGTTGTTGCTTCGATGTGGAAAGCTGATCACAAAAAGTTCATCCCTGTGCTGATGAAAGTTCAAATTTTATTTGCTCTTCAATTATACCTTTTTACGGGAGCAAGAGTTGGGTCCTTTATGCCTTCGCATAGCAACAAACATGAAAGAGGACTCCGGTATGAAGTACGTACACCATGTCTCGAAACGCTGTCTAAATTCTAACTTATGATGCCAGCACATTGATTTGGTCCTATTTCCATCACCTACCGCTCAATGGGAAGTTGGATGGAGAGTCAATCAGACTTGGTTAAAGAATAATCGGGACCCAGAATACACAATGTATGACGTGAATATCACTTTTGGCTCATTCAGAAAACTAATCCACCCTCACTTTCGGAATCGGTATTCGTGATAGTAAGCGAGCACCATTTGCGTCTGGCGACCTTATTCTTGGACTTGCGCTGGGACATGGCGCCCTTTTCGCAATCGAAAATCGGTCAGACTTGGCAAATTTTGATCTGTCTAATGGAGAAATTCCATTGCAATGGAAAGAGAGCTATTTGAAGAAACCCATCTTCCGAAATGTAACGGCTGGCGGGCCCAAAGATACCCCTCTCACAAACCAGGACTTCTCAATTTATCTTCGCATGCTCTTTGATACGGCTGGATACAGTGAGCACCCAACCATACATTGCATCAGGCGAGATCTAGCCCAAGAAGTTGAAAGTAAGTTATGGAGACGTCATACCCCCCTGAACGGAGTCATAATCACTGATGCCTTAACGCAGAACGGTATGGATCGGCACCAGTTTCTCAAATTCTAGCACAACGAGACCCGAAAACGTTTCCAGAACACTACCAAGCTCATTGTTCGTCCGTAGACACAGTCTCAGCTATGCTCGATGAGAAGGTTGCAACAAAACACATTATGTTCTTCCAGGGATACGGCCAGTTTTGTCAGCCAGGGCTTCCTCTTGAATTACCTGCTCACATGCAAGAGAGTGTTCTGACGCTACCTGAAATGGTAGAGATGAAAATGAAAATTGAAGTTGGCAAAGAATGCAATGATCAAGAAGTCGTTCGAGTCATGAAGCAGAAGTATAAAGCAGCACTTGCTCGAAAGCATCGAGCTAAGCTGAAGAAATACCGAGCTTCATGGGTACAAACGAAGCGAGACGAAAAAATCCTAAATCGCGGAAAGGGGGAGCCGGCACAAAAGATAAAAAACACTTGCACACGTGCGCAATACTTGATTATGCCAGAGCTCGCACGAATTGCAGAATCTATGTCCTGTACAGATGAGCTGACCTTTGAAGGAAAACTTTCCTTTGTGGAAGACCTCCACATTCTTTGCTCTCGAAAAGAAGATGTGATCTATCTTCCCAATGAAGAGCCAATCGAGGGTCTTTGTCCAGCAAAGGACTGCCAGATAGAGATTCAAAAGTGAGTTGCTATTACCCAATATGTAAACTGATTCTGATACAAGCCTCCACAGCCTTGCGAAAGGTAAGAGAAGCGCCCACATTCACGATTGCGTTCGACGTGAGACAGGACTCTTGCTTCAAGTCCCTGAATCATCGCTGCGCTATTGCTATGAGTGTATGAAGTGGTTTCTATTGCAAGATTGGCAGGTGCATTGTACTACACATCTCCAGTCATGGGAGGACCAGCACTGCGAAGTTGTCAAGTACCGCCACACAGTGATTCGCCCCGCCTACTGCCCTTTCTGTTTGGGGAACCGTCAAAAGCCAGCCGAGGAGCGTTTACAGTATTGGACACGTAGCGGTAATTTACGAGAGCATATCGAAAGTCAACATATGCAGGAGATCTCGTGGCCGCCAAAGGCGTCAATTTGCGGATGCTCTCAAACATTTGAGAATCAACGCGAACTCAGGCATCACCTGCATGACGTGCACGGGCTCAATAAAACCATTTGGAGAAATCCAAAACCACCGAGGAAGAGAAAAGCAACCGACGGCAATTTTGCTGTGAAACCCGAAGAGAAAGGTGCAAAGAAGCTGCGATTTTCTCACTATCTCCCCCGCCGCCAAGTAGATGAGTCCCTGGTTTCAAACAAAAGATCCATTCCGATCCCGGCCGCCACGTGCTTTATCATAGAGTCGCCCCAAGAGGATTATTGCTCGAGCAGTAGCGAAAGTCACTCATCAGGTGCCAGATGCAGCTCCGTGGAAACCGATTTATCCACCGCAAATTCTCAATCTAGCTCACTGCCGACAACCCCGGGATCTGACGTAATTGACCCGAGGATACTTGAACCTCTGAATATCGCCAAGGATACAGAACGCCAGGGTGGGAATGAAACCTTTGAGCTAGGCTCACCTAAAGGCTGCTTGAATGAGTTCGATAGGAAAATTTTTCCATTCAACTACATCTCAAAGTCGGCCCTTCCTGCTCCGACCACTGAACAGGCTGTCGTGGGGAGAAGTGTGCTGAGTTTATTTCTTTTACTCGCTACCCTGCTAGAGTACAAGACCATGGTAGGGATGATGTTTATACTAAGACTGGCAATGATGCTGAGAATGAGAAGGATGGGAGAATCACTGCTGCACGAATTGAATCCACGAGCCCCCTTCAATTCCGTGACGAATTGCTTGTGAGAAAACCTGGTGGGGATGGTAAGTCACTCGATATAGAGGCATATAGCACAGGTCTGTGGAAGGAACTGGCTGAAGTTCCCAGCAAACACCACAAAAAGGCGGTACCACCCGCGCTAAGGCCAAATTTGAATGACTTGCGCCAAAAACTCAATGCAAGGGATAGAAGGAAGTTGCTCGCACTCAAGAGCGAGAAGAAGACTCTCAGGCAGATTGCACCTCAGTTCCCTCACCTTGACACAGGTTTCCTGAGACAGGCTTGGGGAGAATTGAAGCCTTTCGAGAGATGCACGAGATCGCGAGTCTCAAGAAATAGATAGATAGCTGACTATACATCTTTTTAATCATATCATTCTCTTGGTTTGCGCCGCATCGCCAGTAAGGGCTATAGGGATCGGGCATGGGGAAAGTCACATTGTGGTGTTTATACAATTGAGATACTTTGTCATCGTGAATTGATGTATTCGTAATATAATAACAGATATCATGGCTCTTGTAGACCGGCTTCTTTTGGAAAGAAAGCATGACCCTTGACTCTTAGATAGATTATACGCTATGCAAGAAATGGAAGTGAGGGTATCTCATGAAGGCAATTATCTGTTGAGGGCGTGTTTGCAGCATTTTGTAGGAAAAGGGTTTATCCCGGCCAAAGGCTTTTAGGCCTTGACCCTCTTCATTACGACGTATTTAATGAGTATTGAGCTTACCGTTTCTTGACGGCTGCTGCATAGCCACATTCCTTTTAGTTCCGAGCCTGTAAATTTTGCTCTGTAATGTAATGTAATACATACGTTTTGTTTATACGATACACCCGCACCGAAAGGCATGTATCTATCTTTCCAAGACTCAAAAACGAAGGGCCTAGCTTTTGTAATGCATAAACGCGCACAACGCATATGAGTGGCCGAGAAAAATAACCAGTAAAAATTTTACAAGTAGATTTACGAAGGGAACCTGACAGTCATGAAATATGCCCGGAAATATCGTTCTCGGTATTTTGAACAGTATTAAAACACAAAAATTTTAAACGTAACCAATTTTGGAAGATTTAAACTTCAATTTTTCTGATTATGTGAACCAAATGTGCAACAGGCCCTCCTATTTAGTCTGTAAATGAATAAAAGGATAAAATTGAAACATCGAAAGTAATTGTGATGCTCGGGCGTCGAAAAGTCGCCTTGGAATTATCAGGTAGTTGTGCTACCAGACGTTTATGAACGTCTTCTTGATTCTCACGAATGATATCAAATTATTCTTGTCATAACAATGTAAGCCATTCTAAATTGTTCAGCCCCTTTGACAGTCAGGCAACTGAGCAATTTAGGATGCCACCCCTATAATAAAGACGATTTTCACCCTCCTGCCGCTGGAGGACTATGGTCAAGCCACTCTACAGCCACCCTTTGATAGAATGACAACTTCCGATTCCAATAACTCTGTTAGCTATGATTGGAGCTACTCGCTCTGGGCCTGCTGCAACCCAGCAAAAGCTTGTAAGTGGCCAGTTGTCATCATTGAGAACACCGGCTCAAAATGTCCCAATAGGTTGTTGTGCATGTCTCTTTCCGTGCTGTCTTTTTGGCAAAACAACCTCGCGATTCAAGAAAAAGCAGAAAGAGAGCTATTGAAACTTTGATGTAACATGAAGAAATACAACCCCCCTCAAGGCCGGAAGTGTTACTGATACAGTACCCCTAGTGTTGCTTATTTTTGATACTTGGGACTTGCGCGATACACTGGTTACCACTTATGCTGCAACGAAATAAAATCAAGAGGCACTTTCATATCAAAGGCTCAGCCTGCGGAGACTGCGTGGCTTCTGCCTGCTGCACATGCTGTGTTTTGGTGCAAAATGATAAACAGTCTCGAATCCAGAGAACTACTTCTGCAGAATACACTTCGCCAACCGGGATGTCATACTAAGAAATTTGAAACTATCTCTGCTTTGTGTGTTCCATCACTCACCAATATTCATTCTTATTGACGTCCGCTCCAAGGCCAAATGAAGAAAGTGCGTGCTGGCCAAGACGATTCCGAGAACGGCTGTGTTATATTGAAAGGATTTCCACACCCTTGGCTAATGCTTTTGATTCACATTAACATGTTACTTAAACCGAAACACTCATAAGATGAATATAAATTCCGTGCAGTCAGACACTAGGAGATTTTTTTTTGTTTAGTATGGCTCGAATCGTAAATGCACTGTTTGTCTCCGAGTACAGGGAATGGCTTTGGCACCACAGGAATTCCAAAGAGAGTCATAAACCGATAAATTCCTTTTTTCATAGTACACTTTCACTTAATTGGATTTTGAAAATCTCTAGCCAGAACTCATTGCGGGCCCGATTTACTTCGATATCTCACCAAATATCTCACCATAGAAGATACTGTCAACATTGGAACATTGGAATCCTCTCTTTGACTTGAAAACTCAGCTATACCCAGTCCTTGCGCCCAACATCTGGATTGAATTCAAGTATGAATGATGGCCTACCGGGGCAGACCATAGAGTCCAATGAAGATCCCATGAAAAAGGACAGAAAGATCATTCACGGCTCTTTGAAAGACCTTGGCCTACCCCAGATTGCCGGGGAAAAGAAGATCACTTCCGGGTTGATCGTACGGACTGAATCGCCATGGGAAACCTACCGAGAATTGACGAAAAACGAGCTTGCCGGGCCTGTGATTATTGCCTCTCGTCGCTCAAGTTCACACAAAAGGGTAGCTATTCGACAAATTTCCAATAATAGAACTAACGAATTGATTTTCCGTTTTCGACTTTATCAACACCCCAACCTTCTATCACCTCGGGAAATTTACCTGGCCGGAAACTTGACATATGGACTATTTGAAATAGCGTCAGTTTCTCTTGAGCAGCTCGTGAAACATCCTGGTCTTTTTCCAACTGAGGCGGAGCTTGCTTCAATAATGTCCCAGGTACCGCGCCTCAAAGCCAACACAGACCCCTTTAAGCATTACAGCTAATCAAGCAAGCTACTGGCTGGCATTGGTTTTCTGAGCAATCTAGGTTTTACACACCAGTTTCTGACATGTCGTGAGATCCTACTCTGTATGGATGGGGCTTTAAAAATTGGTGGGACCCAAGAAGTTAGCGCAGCGCTTGAGGCTTGTCTAACTCTCATCCAGGTTGTTTAGAGTTTTGCATGGAATATCCACAAGATCAAGCAGAAACCCAATACCTGAGAGCAATACCTTATATCATGATGGGGCTTATGCAAAAGTGCCTGCAAAGTAGCGCCTTGACAGCGATCGATATTCCTGCTCGCTGGCCGACGGATTCAGCTGCCGTCAAATTTTTCCAAGCCTCCTTATCGGCAAAGACTATCGGTTTTCTTCAGGCGGTAAGCTATTTGTTTCCACAGAGCTCTGATCGTTTTCTCAAGTTAGAACTGCATGGATTCTGAAGCTTCTGTAGCAGTCACTCATTGCCGAGCGCATCCCAAGCACTAGGGACCTCGTCTATCTCGTCCGAGAACTGTGTTCATTTTCACCCACTTCTTGTGTATGAATGGGTTGAAACTGATTTTCATTTTTGGTTCAGGGTGAAGGAGTAAACGGGCACCCCAGATTTTTTACTTCTTAGGGCAGACGTTTTCCATCCTAATGAAGTCCGCGTTCAAGATCTTATAGCTTTTGTAATACTCGGACCTGTGAATTCCCGTATCTGGCTAGTTTTACCTCTTTCAGTTTAGCGCCATAATACACCGTTCTGTAAGCTCCGCCTTCTGTTGCGCCGGCATAAAAACCAAGCCATGCCTTCTTGACCTCTCTTCCTTCTCTTACCTTTTCCTTCCACTCCTCTATCTTGCACTCATTGTCACCCTCATCGCCACCCCCTTTCGCTTCATCTCGGCCCCACCCACAATAGTGCCTTGGCTTTCAGCCTGATTCACTGCCCCCTTCCTTTTACCAGAGATGCCGTTCGATCCGACGCCGAGCTTGCAATATCTCTTGTCTAGAACAAAACTCCTGGGGTGAACGAGGCCGCAGCGGCATCGTGGCCATCTCGCACCGATCTCTTCACTTCCCTCTAAACTGTGTGCGCCATGCTGCGAAGCTGTCTAGATCCTCCTTTGTGCGCCTTGTTCGTCGCTGATGTCCTTCCTTCGATACAAAGCACCGGTTTATTCTAGGTTCTGGATGTCTTCGATGAGGCTATCTGAGGTTACATTGCACCCCTTTCGGTCTCTCCGATTCCCCTACGCCCAATCAATGCACGTTCGAAGGCACAGCTTGATAACATAGGCCAATAGCGAAAATGACGCACACGCCTCTGACCTCAGTCGATGCTCATATTGTGGCCCATGCAGGAACTGATTGCGAAAAGCATGACACGATCCTACTGCCGCCTACGTAATGGAAAATGAACTCGTGTATTGCAAAGGTTATCAGTAAGGCCAGTTGCGGTGAATTCAATTCACGCCAATGGTCTTGCGTTCTTGGACGCAGTAGCCTTAACTGTACACTCTCCTCAGACCTCGGTCTCTCCAGTCGAAGGCCGATTTTAGCTCCCATACTCACTATTTGAGGGCGTTATATCTCATTATCATTTTGTGACTTACAGTACAGATAAATTGTAGCGAGATACGTCTTGAACCAAAATAGCGATAGCGGCTAAGCCTGTGAGTAGCCAAGTTCAAATACCAAAGTGATTGGTACATAACATCACCCTTGGGGGAGCGCGGCAAGAATTCCTAGGATCTTGATTACAGAAAACCTGGACCAGTCAGAACCCCCTATATGATAACCAACTTTTATTCCACCCGATGAAACAGCTGCATTTCTATTGATCAGATTCACGGTACTCGGCAGAGATTTCCGAAAAGTATACGTATTTTCACTAGTTCAAGGTTATCGAAAACAATTCCTCTAAGGTTTTTCGACCTTTATCGTTTAGGTTCGGGTACTATCTGAGATTGCACATATCCGTCTAGAATGCCTTAGTATCTTCGTGCGCCTTACTATATATACCTAGGTGCTCCCGTAGCAACCTTTTCCATTCGATATCTATGTCTGTAAATCCGAAAGAGGCGGAAACATACTTATACCAAATAGGAAAGAAGACGGCGTATTCCCAATTAAGTATACTAATAACCTTACTGTCTTGGACTATGATGTTTCCCAAGTTAAGATCATAGTAAGTAAGCACGTAGGGCTCGCAATTTGGTAGGCGCTTTTTCAAGTTCTGTAAAACTTGCTGAGGGAGGTGATGAAGGTTGAGGGCTAGAGTATCCTAGAGCTTTTGGTTAGAGTAAAATAGTCCACAAGGCTCAAGGTCGAAAAATAATAAGCCTAGGTAGTATGGGCTTTGATCAATATACTAAATTGAGCTTGAAGTGATAACCATATTACTCAGCCTTTTCTATTCACTTGCTCCCAGTGTGGTGGGCAGGTCCTAGGATCTTAATGAAGTTGTCTTTTCAATATAACTATTAACAAAACAAAGCTAATTACTTGTATAGACTTCCAACGTTGCCCTAACACCAACCGTGTTAGGAAGTATAATGCTCAATTCCGCATATGTGGACCTTGAGTGGTTCAGTAAGCTAGGATGGTGCTGATGAGGACTGCAAGATGGGGCGAATTGAATTCAGGATGTTGTTGTTGTTGTTGTTGTTGATCCTGGTACTACTGGGAGTATTGGTTTTACAATGACTGGTCGAATTAAGGTGTATATTTGCTAAGTATTGAGAGTCTATAAACTCTTTATGATTTGCTATTTATGGTAGCAAACTCTGATCTCTCGTATATTATTCTAAGTACAGCCGACTTTCAACCACCTTGTCTCTATCTGAATGCCCCTTTGTATTGCTCAGCTTCTTTAGTTATTGTATAGCCTCTTGTAGCTTACTTTAGTTGTAGGGTATGTTTATAAGAAGATAAAATAACTATATTGTTTTGTTAAGTTCGAAAAAGGTATATAGAAATGAGTATTTTTCTTAGGCTTATAGTAGCGATTTGGAGCTATTAAGTATATTAGTAAGTTATGATGATTACTTAGTAAAGGTAAGTACTGTTATGATTTAGGCTTATAAGTTAGGCTGTATATAGGTAAATATTATTAAGCCTAATAAAATAAGAAATATCCCTACTAAGCTGATAGAGGTTATCTATAAGGCTTGTTAATATCTAGTAATAAATATAGATAGATACTACTAAAACAATTTTAATAAACTTATATCTATATACTATTGTCTTATATATATAACCTAGGTTCTAATAATTTAGATATAAATAAACCTAAGGCTAGTAAAAGTAATTATTATAAATAAATAAAATAAAGCTCTATGTTAGTCCTATTATTTATTAGTTAAACAAATATATAAAAGGGGAAGTTAGTAATTAAGAAATTACTGAAAAAGTCACGGAAGATAATAGAATAATATATATTCTTATGAATAAAAAGGTAAAAAAGATATAGGCTAGATATGATTGTAAAGTAGAAATACTTAGATACTAGTAAAGGTTAGTGTTGATCTTTCTCTTTTTTAACTAATCTTATCTTATTTAATATAAGTAAAAGAAGTATACTATTAACTTCTAGCTGTAGTATCGATTAAGATATATCTAAAATATTATTAGTGAAGATATTGATATTATCGAATTAAGTAACTTATATATTTTTAGGACTACTTCTAATAATACCAGTAGAATAGAAGCGACTGATCCTAAGAATACGAAACTACCTATTACAACTTGACTAGAGATAAGTAGTCCTTTACTTAGCCTTTATAAGCTTATAGTATCGATAGATAGGAGCCACAAAGCAAGACTTACTCTATAGAGAGTTAATACTATTATCGATGTAGTCAGTTAGAATACTACTTTAGGGTCCATTTTTCAAATTTTGATAACTTTTGAGCTCGATCTAAAAGGGTTATACTAGTGTTTAAATAAAGAGCCAATGCATTTACTTACTAATCTTGCTTAATCCGACAAAGGTGCGCTCATCTGCAAGACGTCCTCAATATCATTCCAGGTTCCGATATTAAGTAATACGTGAACTAATAGGTTTGGGTTGATGTTCCCTGGTGATGGACAATGATATGCTGCTGAAGTCCCAAAATCAAAATCAGTCGCCGTTGGAACAGTGAAATGTCAAATAGTACTGTACATGTATGTAGAAACAAGGACACGAATACAATTAGGCAGGCGCAGGCGTTGACGCCTTGGAATCTGGTCGATGGTAAGTTCTAGAAATGTTGGGAGAAGTAGATTGCATTAAATTGCAGTAAGTTACCTGTCGAATATGGGACTCATGTATTCATCTATTTACGTATCTCTTGAGGATCCCCACCATAGCCACTGTGATACTCAACAGAAACTACTGTACTGTAGTTTCGACACATACGTTGTACTCATCCCAATTCAGGAACCACAGTACGTACTGTACGAGGACTGCCGTAGTTTCAAAACTACTTGCCATCCTAATTCAATGTCATTCTCGCCACTGGTGCAAGGATTCGATTGGCTCACTGTTACTCTATGCTCCACATTGGAGTGCCATGACTCAATCTCCCTTATACTGCCGTACTGTAGAATCTTTAGTAGGGTATTACAAAGCACGCGCTAAACCTAATACCGAAGGGGGGCGGTCGATATAGTAAGGGGCAATCCCAAGAGCACTTGGAGCCTGCAACAACTAGGCAGCATTGCAAAACCCTTCACTAAAGGTAATTTGAGACGATGACTTTATTTCCCTTCGTATTTCCCTTCCCGACCGGAATAAGGAAGCTGTACAAATGTACTGGTGCAAATATTCAGTTCTTTAAGATAGCGGCTTCAATTTTCTGCTCTCGATATAGATCGATGAAAAAAGAAACTCAACAGTGACTACCGTGGTGTCAGCATGCGAATTTTAAAGAAGACCTCCACCTCCTCTGCCAGACGGATCTTTGAGGCACCCGGTTAGATTTTCAAACTCCTGTCGAAGCAAGTTTCGATCGTCACATTTCTGAGCCGTA